AGCTGCAAGGATAGACTCTGGCAAACCTGTCCCTATTACAACCACATCAAACTCTGTGGGGAGACTGTCCGCCATCCTAGGAGGAAACCGTCTGCTGACAACTACTGATGGAGGAAATTGTCGCTCCCCGTCTTCGTGGAGGAGCGACGCTGAACCCTGCCTAGGCTTCGTATCCGAGTCACGGCACCATTATGTCGCTCCCCCTCTTCGTGGAGGAACGACACTAAACCCTGCCTAGGCTTTCATATCCGAGTCACGGCACCATTATGTTGCTCCCCCTCTTCGTGGAGGAACGACACAGGACCCTGCGCTGTTCTTCTGTCTGCTCGGCCCTCCCCGGGTTTGCTGCTGGTTCTTCCCGGGTTGGCTACTATCCCTTCCACCTCCGTGGAAGGGCAGTTCCCCCTGGCCACATTCCCCACTTCCGCAGGGGAGCGGCACACCGCCGGCCGGTTCTCTCGGGGGCTGCACGGGTTCCCTTAGATGTTCCCCATAGATGTTCCTGGTGCATGCCGTCTCTCTCCTCCTTTATAGTCCTCCTCCGCCAATCCCAACTCGGCTGCCCACATGCCGAGCACGCTGCTCTCCTCCAATCAGGAGCAAGTCCTACAGTTCATTAGTTGAACTGGAGGCAGCTGTGCGGAAGCTGTTTACTTCTCTCCCAGCGCCATATTGTGGGAGAGCAGATGCACAGAATAAGTCTTAATTCCAGTAACTCAGTCCAGTCCGGATTGCTCCCCACAGAAATGCATATGAATATAGGCTGAGGGCTCAGCTGAGATGTGATCATGCTGAAATAAAATCTCTGCTTGTGATGTTCCAGCTCATCTCAGAAGCACTGAAGCTGCAGGTCCTAGCTGTTTAATGGTTACCCTTTTAAAGTATTTTTTTTTAAGTCAGCAGCACAAAAACATGATAAAGTACATTTATTCACATCTGAGAATACTAAAATGGATGTGTAGTTTTCATTTCTGCATTTCACCTCAGCAGTAAATGTCAAAATGCATCATATATGCATTTGTGACTGGAACTCATCTCTGAAAGAAAAAAATTCAAGGAAAAAAAAAAGAATACTGTGGTGGAATGAGAAGGCCATGCTAAGGTGGCCACTGGCAAGCGAGTGTCAGTTACTCAGGAATGGCTTTGAAACCCACCTGGCAACGGAGCCTGCCTGGCAACAGGCTGTGATTGGTTGGGGCATAGACCGCCCCTTGACCAGACTGGCTGGTTTTGGCTATATAAGATGTAGTTCCAACTGTAATAAACGAGTCTGCGGGCTGCTCGCCTCAAGCCTGCTTTCACCCGACTCCCAGGGTCTGTGTGGTGACTCCATGCCTCTTGCCCCCACCACGCTGCTCCTCTCAGAAATGAATCCACTGCAACATTGTTGAGAAATCAACAGCAGCAGAATAAAATTGAAACCATCTAAAAGTAATTTCATACAACAGCAATTACACCATTGGAGCCTGACTTCTTACTTGGATATAAACTTCTACTAAAGCAAGTCATTAAATTCTTTCTCATGTTTTTCAGTCCCTTGAAAATGAACAATGAAGGCCGGTGCCATCGCTCACTTGGCTAATCCTCTGCCTGCAGCACCAGCACCCCAGGTTCTAGTCCCAGTTGGGGTGCTGGATTCTGTCCTGGTTGCTCCCCTTCCAGTCCAGCTCTCTGCTGTGGCCCGGGAAGGCAGTGGAGGATGGCCCAAGTGCTTGGGCCCTGCACCCACATGGGATACCAGGAGGAAGCACCTGTCTTCGGATTGGTGCAGCACACCGGCCGCAGCAGCCATTTGGGGGGTGAACCAATGGAAAGGAAGACCTTTCTCTCTGTCTCTCGCTGTCTAACTCTGCCTGTCAAAAAAAAAAAAAAAAGAAAAAGAAAATGAACAATGGAGATATAACCCCCCAAATCAAGCAATATAATATAAAGAATGGTCATAATGTTTTACAATAAAGAATAATTAAAATAATACAATTTCATAGCTTTTAGAAAATATTTGAATAAAACTATACACAGCTGTAAGCTCTTGACTAAAAGAAATGTGTGTCTCCTCTTTATTTATGGGAACAGACAATATACTGTGCACAACATCATGATTAGGAATATTTCTGTGACCAGGATAGTTTGTGAGTGATTCCAGAACAGCCAAATAGAAGACCTTTCCATACCCCAACTACCCTTAGGATTTCTTTTTTTTTTTTGACAGGCAGAGTGGACAGTGAGAGAGAGAGACAGAGAGAAAGGTCTTCCTTTTGTTGTTGGTTCACCCTCCAATGGCCGCCGCGGCCACAAGGCTGTGGCTGGCGCACCGCACTGATCCGATGGCAGGAGCCAGGTACTTCTCCTGGTCTCCCATGGGGTGCAGGGCCCAAGCACTTGGGCCATCCTCCACTGCACTCCCGGGCCACAGCAGAGAGCTGGCTTGGAAGAGGGGCAACCGGGACAGAATCCGGCACCCTGACTGGGACTAGAATCCGGTGTGCTGGCGCCGCAAAGCGGAGGATTAGCCTAGTGAGGCACGGCGCCAGCCTACCCTTAGGATTTCATGGTAGCAGTTAACAAGTCAGATTATTACAAAAAGATTATTGATTCAGTTAATGACTAGCATTTGAAAACATTTAGGTGTGTACAAGAAAAGGCATACTGATAGGGAAAATATCTAAAAAATGTGAATCTCCATATGCATGTATGTTTTGTAAGTGTAAAGTATCAAGAAAGTTGGTTCCTGGCTTAGTATATCAAGCATCTTAATATAAGTAACACTTCTAACATTTGAACAGGGTAGTGTTTGCATTTTGCCAGACTGCCTCTGCCATCCCTAAATCTCTGTATCCCAAGAAAAAGGTCTTAAGTATCTCCTGCCAAGATGACCCATGTTGTTTGCTATACTTACTTTTCAAAGGGTAGTGAACAAAGGCATAATGCTGGCTAAGTGCCACATGCAGAAAAAAAGGTGTATGTGATTCCAGGGTGTAGCCAGAGGGAGAACAATGAAGAAACTGAAGGGCATACCCACCTGGAAGTCTTTAAGCTAAAGCACTACACACACCACATTGCTAACCTTTCTATCATTCATCAATGCAGAGTATCAGTGAGGGTTCTCTGACCTGATTTTTGCTGTCACCAAATCTACTGAAATCTAGATTAATACAAGCTGCATCTTGCTGATGCTAAAATGACTAATTACTCTGAATACTGATAAAATAAGTCATTCAATGGGAACTTATATTAAATTGACTAGGTCACTAACCTCACTGGTCAGTTTAAATGAAAATGATAATCTTCATAGTCCTGTCTAATGAGGACCTCTGACTAAAAGATAATTTTCAGCATTCCCTGAGAAGCCATGATCTGAGCACAAAATAAGCCAGCTGCCTGGTCTGCTCATGTAAATACGTTAGTGTGTCTGAATTACTTCTTCTGCCTTCCTCAGCAGGGTGTGAAGATGGAGATAGAACCTATGATGTTACCTGAAGAAGTACGACCATCTTCTTGGCTTAGAAGGGGACAGAGCTGAGGGTGGGATAAAGTGGTCACAACCACTAACATTAGGCACTCTCTAGCCTACAGATATCAAAAGTCTTATCAAAATTCAAAGGAAGTGGATGGCCTTAAAGAACAGGGAGCTCAAGTACCCCATAACAGAGAAAACCAATGCTGTAGAGATTAACTCATTCTTATGTCAATGATCTTCCCATTAAAGAGGGCAGCCTCTCCAAAAGCCTCTGCAGCATTTCTTTTATTTCTGCCACACCTGCAGTACTCCACAGCTAGTTGCTTGGTTGGTTGGTTCTTGCTCAGAGATAACTGGGGAAGTGAAGCACCTTTCCTTTCTTCATCCTTAACCCTAATCTAGAAGCACAATCCTTGGAATTTACTCCAGGCAAAGAAATTTTTTATCTTTGCTAAGAACAAGTTGAGCTCCACAAAAACCTCATTACTGACCTGTCTTAAATAAGACTCTGATCCTCTTAGCCAGGTTTTTAACCTCTAATTTAAAATCAGAGGACAAAGTGAAAGCACTAGCTAAATGCCCCCAAGAAACAGAGCAGCCTTTAGGTGAAATACCATGTGCTAGCTTCTAGCAGTCTTAGAAAATCATTTCTGATTGGGATGGGGCCCCAGCAAGGATGGCAAGGGAGAAGAGACAGGAGGGTGGGGTCTGCAGAGGAAAGGGATGAGGAGGGTGGGTGGCAATGCTTATTAAAAACTCAATACAGTCTTGCTTTCAAACTCCTGGGCACAGATACACAATTTCCCACCACAGAAAAGGTGCTTCACAGAAACAAGAACTTTCATGTCTATGAAAAAAACAACTGTTATCCTCCAAAAGGAGCATCCCCCATACTTTAGACACAGGCTTAAAACATGTTCCTTAAAGCTTGGCCCTGCCTAAAAAGTTGCCTGGTATTTTTTAATGAAAATAAAAAGTATAATCACACAGCCATCTACATTACTGCCTACATACAGTGACAGCTATCTCCCCATGTTTCAAATCTTTGTACAAATGAAATACTCAGACTCATGCTCACTGGAGAGGAAAAGAAAATATTGGAATAAATGTAATCATGGTATCTATGAGATTTCCTTCAAAAAGCGAAAATTAAATCATTATGAATATTTGAGTCTTAAAGGCTTGGCGGCTGATGAATAAGAAAACTATTTTTGATAATGCTACCAAGACTTTGTGCTCTAAAACCCGCCAAGACAAAAGTCATAAATTACGAATGGATTTCACGACCAAAACCCAAAATACTAATACCTGATATTCTTTCAAATCTTTGTACAAATGAAACACCTGGAGCATACACACAAAAATAATTTCTTTCCCAAGGTTACAAAATCACATCTTCAGGCCGGCGCTGTGGCTCACTTGGCTAATCCTCCGGCTGCGGCCGGCACCCCAGGTTCTAGTCCCGCGGCGGGGGCACCGAGGCCTAGCGGAACCCGGCGGCGGGGGCAAGGCGAGGGGCGGGAAGCAGCGACTCACGACTCACCGAAGAGGCTGCTGCTAAACCCGTCCCACACGCAGCCCACGGTGTCCCACACCCAGCCGTTCCTCAGGCAGGACACGAAGGTAAAGGTGACTCCGAAGACGGACACCAGCAGGTCGCTGAGGCTGATGTTGACCAGGAAGAGAAGCGTGGGAGTGCGCAGCCGCTGGAACTTGTAGTAGAGGACCAGCACCAGCAGGTTGCTGCCGACGCCCAGCAGCCCGATGGAGCCGAGCAGCAGCGCCAAGCGCTCGTAGGTGCTCGGACTGAAGAGTGGCGCGGGGCTTAGCGTACCCGCCGGCCCCGGCCCCTCAGCGCCCGCGGCCCCGCCGCCCTCCCAGTAGCCCTGTTCGCCGCTGCGGTTCCCCGAGTACATGGCCCGGGGCCGGCTCGCTCGGCGGGCGGGCGGGCGGAGGCGCTGGAGCGGGCGGCGCGCTCCGCACTGGGTGGGGCTTCAGCCCAGCCGCTCGCTGTGGCTACCGCACTGGAAGCGGCGTCCGCGCCGCGCGCCGGCACCGCCCCCCCGCCCCTTCCGCTCAGCTCAGCCCGTAGCCACGCCCCCAGGCGCGCGCGCGCTCGCAGCGCTGTCCCGCTCCGCGCGTCCCCTACGCCCTGCGCTACCGTGCGTTGGCGCGCGTGGACTGGCGAAGGGGCGAACCCGGAAGACAGGACCGCAGGGAGAAGACACCCTCAGGGGCGCGTCACCCCGTTCCCCTCAGCTCGAAAGCGTCGTGTCCTTTCACCCGTTCAGAGTATTCATGAGCGCCTGGGTCAACCCTGAGCTTGGGAGAGGGTCGGAGGAGGCTCTGCCGCCCTAGGTTTCTTTCTCAGGGGGCTGTACTAACCCACCACTGGTGTGCAAGGCCCACCCCGCCTCACACACTTATGTGGAAACAAAAGAAAACACTACAGTGAAAAGCGTGGGATACAGCACCCGCCAAATGGCCTGACAAACAGGACAACTGAGGAAGAAAACTGGGAGAGTGATTAGAGGGGAAAATGACCCACCTCCCCGACAGCTGCAGGATGCGAACTGTTCAAGAAATTATAAGAGAATGTGTCGCAGTGGCCAGGCGAAGGAAGCCTGGCACCTCTGAAAGTTTCAGGATAAGCAAGGAACTGGCATTAGAGTGGAATGGAGGTTGAGCCCCTGACTGGACACCAAGACCGGCAGATTCCTCCTTTCTGCTCTGGTCTGAGTGGCGGTAGATCTGTCCTGTTCTCATGGCCTGCGGAAGCCCTTCACCGGCAGTGACTACCTGGGCTGTGCGTCAACCTGAATCTAGCAGGTATGAAATCGGTCAAGACCCCCTAAAATGTATACAAAAATGTGGTCCCTTAGAGATGCCACAATGCTACCGGAATTTGGGGTGCCATATAATTTCACCATATGCTTATTAATAAAGCCCCACTATTAATATGCCTGAGAGGGTTCTTGCCTAATATTTAGAGAATTCTAAATACTGGCACAGGTAAACGAGGCAGCATGGTACATTTTAAGCCTTTATTTATTGACAAAGATGTATAGGAGAGTGAGAGCTTTATTGAGAGAGGTAAATCTGGGTTTATACTGAGCACCAGGAACCAGCCACATGGAAAAGCATCTAGGCCAGGAAGCCTGGAGGCGCAGGGCTACAGCAAGCCCCATCCTGGCAAGAGGCCAGGGAAGAAGAGAAGGGCAGGACACACGGTGTCCCAGGCTTTTAACCCACTTCCAAAGGGGAGTGGTTAATTAACTGATTGGCTGGTGGGCACCCAGGTGTGGCCAGGTAGGGGCATGAAATCACACGGGGCATGGCGAAGGTATCAGGTAGGGCATGAGGTCACACGGGCATGGCGAAGGTGTGGTCTTCCAGCTCACAAACCTAATCGATTTTAACCTATATGCCTGCCTACTTCAGGTGTAGGGCAGTAGGTGCTATATTTAGAACACACATTTTCCACTAGGCCTTTGCCCCAGTAGCGATGAAAATATAGTACAAGTCAAATATAGATTGTGAACGTGATCACATTCTGGAAGGGCTACTTTTGTCTTTGTCATTGCATGGTCCATACCAAGGCCTCACAGGAGGATAGCAATCCTGAGTCACACTGCAGGCTGTCCTGGGCACCTGTGACTGGCACAGAGTGGAAGCTAAAGTAGTTGCTCTCCATGAGGGTGTTTATACCTCCCACCTCTGTTCAAAAGATCAATAAAGTGTGACTGGTGTTTTAATGAACCCCCTTTCCACATTCCCAGGGGACAGATGGGCTAGCCAGTCAATTCTTCATCCTGTGCATTGGGCAACAGCTGAAGGGCAACATGCTATGCCTGCAAAATGTTGATTTTCTTTTGAGACTTCTAATATGGACTTGCTACATATGATACTGTCTAGCCTGCCCACTCTTTAATATATATATATATATCTTTTAGATTTATGCAACCATTTCACAAGTTCTATATGTCTAAGGTCCACTGTATTTTCAGCATAGTGCCTAGACTATAGTAAATTCTGAATAAATATTTTCTGAAGGAATGAATAAGGGACTCACTATATTTCTTTCTAGAGTATTCATTTCATCTTTGGTGCTGAGTCCCTGCCCTCATAACGCTCACATTCTGGTGGTGTTAGCTGGGCAGACAATAATCAAATGAGTACATACAAAGGGTATCAGATGCTGATAAGTTCCACAAAGAAACAGAAGGCAGTAAGGACTGTACTGAGTATTGCAGGCACAGCATACATGTATGGAGAGGACTGCATTTAGCACACCTTGAAGGAACAAGGAAGCCTGCATGTTTGGGGCAGAATGAGAATTAGGAAGTGAGGTCAGAGATGTGCTTGAGTGGGGATTAGCCGGGCCATGCAGGGTCTAGGCCATTTTCATAAAAGGACTTTGGCTTGTCCTCTATCACAGTGAAGCCTATGCAAGGGCAAAAACAGAACTGAAGGAAAAGGAGTAAGAGGCTCTTGGCAAATGTTAAGAATTTTGATCCAGTTATTTTTACAATACTATGAACTGTAAAAGATATTTATTCAATGGCAGAAATAGGCAATGATACCACATACATGATTTCCTTTTTTAATAGTGAAGTATGTTTCAATTCAGTTTCAGAATTTTACAGTGATAGGATAATGGCAAAATACGACAAGTAGAAAAGCCAGTGAAGTACTGGCATGAGGAACACCATGCAGACCAATGGAATAGAGCAGACAGTCATTATATAAGCCCTCACATTTGGTTAATTGATTTTCAACAAGCATGCCAAGACCATTCAGTGCAGATAGGACAGGCTTTCCACAAATGCTGGGAAACTGTATATCCATATAACAAAGCATGAAGTTGGATCCTCAAAATACATGACAGACCTAAATGCAGGAACTAAAAGTATAAGATCATAAATTATATGAGCACAGACAACAAGAGAAAATATATAGACTTGATCAAAATTAAAACATGCTGTGCCTCAAAGAACACTTTCAAAAAAGTGAAAAGATAACCTACAAAATGGGAGGAATATTTGCAAATCTTTTACCTTATAAAGGCCTAGTATCCAGAATATATAAAGAACTCCTACTCAACAACAACAAAAATCTCCATAACCTAATTCAAAAGTGGGCAAAAGATTTGAGCAGACAGTTCCCCAAAGATACGCAAATGGTCAGTAAGCACTTGAGGGACCAGCATTGTGATCCAGCAAGTTAAGATACCTCTTGTGGGGCTGGCATACCATGTCAGGGTCCAGTTCCTGTCCCAGCTCATCTACTTCTGATCTACTTTCCTGCTAATGTGCCTTGGAAGAGAGCAGATGGTGGCTTAATGCTTGGGACCCTGAAACTCATGTGAGACCTGGCTGTGGTTCCTGGCTCCTACTTTAGCCTGGCCCAACCCTGACTATTGCAGCCATTTGAGGAATGAATCCGGAGATGGAAGATTTTTCTACATCTCTCCCCACCTCTCTCTCTCTCTCTCTCTCTCTGCTGTTCTTGCCATTCACAAAAATAAATCTTTATAAAAAAATAAGCACCTGAAAAGAAGTTCAACATCATCAGTCAGCAGGGACAGTGAAAATCAAAACCAAAAGAAATACTGTTTCATACCTACTAGAATGGCCATGAGGAAAACAAATGGCACAAAAAATAAGTGTGGACAAACATGTGAAGAAATTTAAACACTGGGAAACTGCCAATAGGAATGTAAAACGGTACAGCTACTGGGGAAAACAGTTTAATGGTTCTGGAAAATGTTAAACGTAATTAACATATGATCCAGCAATTTCAATCCCAACTACATACCCCAAAGAAGTGAACATAGGAACCTAGACTGTATACCAATGTTCATAGCAGCATTATTCACAATAACTGAAAGGTGGAGATAACTCAAATGCCCATCAACAAGTGAATGGTATATGCACATGATGAACTATTTTTAGCAGCAGCAAGGAATTAAATTCTGGAACATGTTATAGCATGGATGAACTTTGAAAACATTAGCCTAAGTGAAATAAATGACATAAAAACCAAATATTTTATGATTCCACTTATAAGTGATATGTAGAGTAGCCAGCCAAATTTATAGAGATGGGAAGTAGGATGATGGTTACCAGAGGCTGGAGGAAGAGGCAATGAGGAGTTAGTGCTTAATGGGTACAGAGTTTCTGCTAGGATGATGAAAAAGTCCTGGAAATGGATAGTAGTAGTGATAGTTGCACAACATTGTGTATGTCTTAATGCCTCTGAATTGTGCACTTAAAAGTGATTCAAATGGTAAATTTTGTTACAGATGTGTTACCACAATTTAAAAAAAAAAAAAAAAAACAAGAAAAGGAAGGAGTGGAGGAGAAAGCATGTGGAAATTGTGTTTGTGCCTCACCCTCTCAGAGTAGAGGGAAACTAATGTGATCACTTAGTGAGCAAGTTAGACTCAGTATAGTACAAGCAAAAAGTAAGTTTGCTTTCTCCCACTACTCATTTCAGATGTCTTTTTTTAAATTTATTTTTTTTTTTTTTACAGTCTGAGCTAGACAGTGAGAGAGAGACAGAGAGAAAGGTCTTACTTTGCTGTTGGTTCACCCCCAAATGGCTGTTATGGCTGGTGCACTGCACTGATCCGAAGCCAGGAACCAGGTGTTGCCTCCTTGTCTCCCATGCAGGTGCAGGGCCCAAGCACTTGGGTCATCCTCCACTGCCTTCCTGGGCCACAGCAGAGAGCTGGACTGGAAGAGGAGCAACCAGGGCAGAATCTGGCGCCCCAACTGGGACTAGAACCCCAGGTGCTGGCGCCGCAGGCAGAGGATTAGCCAAGTGAGCCAAGGTGCCGGCCTCAGATGTCTTTTTTCTATTTGCTCTTTCCTGTCCTTTGATTAAACATTGACAAGTTCCAAATATTTTCTGATCACTATCAGTTAAGTTTAGAATGTTGTCATATGAAATGTTAAAACCCATGTAAAACTCATTTGTCCACCCTCCAAAATAGGATCTGCTCAGGCCTAGAGAATTTCTGTGGGATGCAAGTGGGGAAGACAAGTTACTTCTCCCATTTCCTTGATCCACTACTTGCTAACACTGCTATTGCTCCTCCAGATTTGCAAGGAAAAATCCTTCCCTGATTGGTAAAGTTGTCCTCTGATGTTTGTGCTTTCTGATTGTATTGAATTTAATTGTTGTTTGTTTCTTTTATGGTGATTTGTGCATTCCTTAGAAAACCTGTGTTCCCTTAAACCTTTCTTGCTTGCCTCCCTAGATAGGGTTAATGACTTCAACTGGCTCTTTGGGGCTCCCTTTTAGACCCTGCTTAGGGCTGCTAACAACAGGGCTAACCTTCTTCCATCGAAGTATTAACCAGGGCTGACCCTACTTACAAGATCAGATGAGATCAGGGGCATTTAGGGGGGTATGGCCATAGACAGAGGAAGTCTTCTCAGCAGTACCCTTCCCAAAATGATGCAGTATGTCTCTTTTACACAGTCCAGTATGTGACCCACTAGAAATTCCTTGCTCCACCAAATTCAGCAAGTGGTCTTCTGTAGACAGCTGGCCAGCCTCATTCTCTCCCCCTCAGTGTCCTTGGGTAGAAAAAGCAGAGAGAAGTCATGGTTCCTCCACTACTCTGAGAACTCTAAGGAAGAACTGATCCAAAGTCTTCCCAAGTGCCTGATGAATTCCTTGCTTTCTCTTAAGCAGTTTGGAGGTGAGAATAGGCCAAACTATGCAGAGCAGGCTTCCAGTTCCTTCTGTGAGTGCTACCCAGCACTGCCCTTTAAGGTAGGGGAATTCTTCAAATCTTTTGTATTGTAGGGCCACTCCCAAAGCAGAAAGAGGGTCATTGTAATAACAAAAGTCTTCAAAAAGTCCACAGAAAAATGCATATTCTGATGCGTATTCTGGAAAAACTACATAGAAATTTCATTTTTTTTTGCAAATGAAGTTTATGATTTAATTCCATTTTTTTCCATAAACTTTTTGAAGTATCCTCATATCCTACATTGGAGCGGAAAATCATTATCATTTCTATGTTTCAAGAAAGTCCTTTGCAAAGCTTAAGGGAATAAATAATGTAGGTGGGTATTATCTGACATTGTTGTTTGGAATAATTGGTAACCCTTAGCCTTCCATGTCCTCCATGTGTCAGTGGGGAGGAAATATCAACCTTTACTCAATCAAGTAATCTTCTTTCTAGGACTAGGACGACATCCTTCCCTGGCCTCTCCACCCTTGGTCCCTGGTGACAAGCAGAAGAGCCCTTCCAGAAAATCCTTCCAAACATAGCTGCACCTTTTCTTGCCTTAGGAATGTAATTCGGTGAATGTAATTGAACTGAAAAGAGAAAAGACAGTCTAACATGCCTTCATGTTCCGAATGGCAATTCTCCTTGTGCAAACAACACAAGGTGGGTGAGTTGTAGGGATCAGCTTAATGTGTAAACAGTGTACTTGTCCACACTTCCTCTCCCTGCCACTCTCCCTCAAATACATACATTTGTTTTGAAAGTGAAATCTCATTTGTACTTTGCTATTAAAAATACAGTTTAGGTGACCAAGGAGTTAAGAAAGAGTGGATATTCAGTTACTTAAAGAAACTGGTTAGTGAATTTATGGCTAATTTAAATATATATATGCATATGTGTGTGTGTGTGTGTGTGTGTATAATGGGACCCACCTTGTGGTACAGCTGGTTAAGCCACTGTTTGTTATACTGGCATCACATAACAGATGATCTCATGAACCAGGCTCAAGTCCCAGATGATCCACTATCGGGTACAGCTCCTTGCTATTGTGCCTAGGAAAGCAGCAGAAGATGGCCAAGCACTTGGGTTACTGACATCCATGTGGAACACCTGGATGAAGTTCCTGGTTTCAGCCTGGCCCAGCTCTTGCCATTGTAGCCATCTGGGTAGTGTGGTAGTGTGTGTCTCTCTCTCCCCCCTCATGTCTCCCTCTGTCACTCTTTCAAATAAAAAAAATCACATTTATATCTCATATAGATATATGTATAAATGTATATATCTATATCTATATCTATATCTATACCAACACACACAATAGTGATAGTTTGGTACACTGGGGACAAACAGAACATCTATATTTCCTGAGGGGGGGAAATTAAAAAAATTTTTTTAATGAAGGATCAGGAGTTAGCATAGCTTATTGTCAGCCACAAAAACTAATCAAATAGAACCCAAGACTAGGCAAAAGGACAATAAGATATCTTAAAGATATTGAAGGAAAACATTTTCCAAACTATGATTCTACTCAAATATTGAACAAATACAGAAAAAGATCAGGATATTTTCAGACCTGCAACCATCAAACATTTATTTCCCAGGCACTATTTCTGGGTGTGAGCCACCAAAATGAGGGAATGGACCATGGTAAAGAAGGTCATAGCATATAGTCTTGAAGTGAAGGCAATTCCCAAAATGAAGGCAAAGGGAGATGGTTTCAGTCAAGACTGTATGAATATGATTCAAGACAGACATGTGGATGGATGTTGTTACCACGATGCCTTCTGCTTACGTATCTTTTTATCTTAAAAAATGCCTGAGTGAGGCTGGCCCAGATTTTTAGCAGGACTTTGTCATCCAAGGCCATATATTTTTGAAGCTCTCACTCATCTCTCTGTGCCCTGCCACATGCATCAGCTGAGAATATGCATTTTATTCCAGAGGAATTTTTTATTGACTTATCCTTAGAATTTGAGTTGGCCATATTGGACTCAAAAACAGAAGATTCATGGTAACATATTGGCCAACAGGATTTCTACCTGGTGACCGATAGCTGACTTACTTTTTTTTTTTTTTTTTTTTTGACAGGCAGAGTGGACAGTGAGAGAGAGAGACAGAGAGAAAGGTCTTCCTTTGCTGTTGGTTCACCCTCCAATGGCCGGCGCAGCGCACCGCGCTGATCCAATAGCAGGAGCCAGGTACTTCTCCTGGTCTCCCATGGGGTGCAGGGCCCAAGCACTTGGGCCATCCTCCACTGCACTCCCTGGCCACAGCAGAGAGCTGGCCTGGAAGAGGGGCAACCGGGACAGAATCTGGTGCCCCAACCGGGACTAGAATCCAGTGTGCCGGCACTGCAGGCAGAGGATTAGCCTAGTGAGCCGCGGCGCCGGCTCCGATAGCTAACTTACATGATGAAATAGCTGAGGACCCAACCATGAGCCTTGTGCTATAGTCTAGCCTGCTGACATCCACATAAGGGCTTGCATACTATTCATTGAACCTAAAGCCAGAGTAGCTCAGAGAAACCATGCCACCTATTTTCTTCCTAGAGTCTTTCTCTGACAGCCAGTGTGTTTCCTTGTCACCATTCACAACCATTTATATGTAACAAGTAATTAACAAAAATAAAATATTTGAGAAAAATGATGGAAAAGATGAAAGAAAAATTATTCTTATGAGGTATATTAGAAACATAAGGACAAGTTTATTAAAATTTAAATAATGTGCATGGTTCTACTGAAACTGTGAAATTATCAAAGTATGTGACCTGAGTTTAGAAGGCAATTTTCTGAAATTAATATTTATTAAAGATTTGCTTATTTTTATTTGAAGGGCAGAGTTACAAAGAGGCAGAGGCAAAGAGAGAAAGAGGCAGAGAGAGAAGTCGGTCTTCCATCCACTGGTTCACTCCCCAAATGGCTGCAATGGCCAGAGCTGGGCCAATCTAGAGCCAGGAACCAGAAGTTCTTCCAGGTCTCCCATGTGGGTGCAGGGGCCCAAAGACTTGGACCATCTTACTACTGCTTTCTCAGGCCAGAGCAGAGAGCTAGATCAGAAGTGGAGCAGCTGGGACTCAAACCGGTGCCCATATGGGATGCCAGCACTGCAGGTGGTGGTTTTACCTGCTACACCTCAGTACCAGCCCCCAAATTAATATTTTTAAGACTTTGAGAACACAGGTAATTTCTTTTGTTCTTTAAATTTGCAGCCATTGGGGGCAGTGTTGTGTATTAAACCACAGCTTGCAACACCAACATCCCATATCAAGAGCGTCAGTTCAAATTCCAGCTAATCTGCTTCTGACCCAGCCATCCTGCTAGTGTGCTTCAGAAGGCAGCAGGAGATGGCCCAATTGCCTGGGCCCGTGGCATCCATTTGGGATCCCAGGATGGAGTTCCTTGACTCCTGGCTTCAGCCTGGCGCAGACCTGACTTTTGTGGCCATTTGGGGAGTGAACCAGGGAATAGAGAATCTCTCTCTCCCTCTTTCCAGTAAATAAATCTTTAAAAATTTTTGTGGATGTGTAAGTTTTGCAATTGAGAAAATATAAGTAAAAATGCATCCTACAGCTTTATAAATGGCCATAATAGCTACGAATTACTCCAGAATGCATTTTTAAGATGTTTCCAAAAGATGTTATAATAACATGTGCTTATACCTACACCCCATTCTCTTTTTCTGTCTTTAAATGCTTATTTATTTATGTCTACTTGAAAGGCAGGACAAAAAAGAGAGAGAAAGGGATGGTGAGAGACCTGGTTCACTCCTCAAATGCCCTCAACAAGCAGGGCTGGGTCAAGCCAAAGCCAGGAGCCAGGAACTCTATCTGGGTCTCCTTGTGGGTGGCAGGGACCCAAGCACTTGAGACATTGCCTGTGACAACCCAGGATGCATTTTCAGGAAGTTGAATTGGAAGCAGCAAAGCCAGGACTCTAACTGGCACTCCAAAATGGGATATAGGCATCCTAAGCAGAGGCTTAACCAGTGCAACTCAATGCCTACCTCCTCTTACCCTTTCTTTACCTCACCATTCCACCAATAGCTTTCCTCAAGGTATCTATAATCATTCCAATTGTTAATTTTCAAGTCCTCACTTATGTAGACTATCAGCAGCAGTATTTGGCATAGTTGACTGCTCCTTCTGCTACTTTAATGCTAATCTGTAAACTTTTCAGAATGTAGCTCCAAAATACAATATCTCGTTAATACCAATTTTATAATATGAATGCTTGTATCCCCCTACGGATTCATATTTTGAAACCTAACTCCCGAGATGATGGTATTAAGTGATGGAACCTTTGGAAAGTAATTAGGTCATAAGGGTTCCACCTCATGAATGGGATTAGTGTCCTTACAGTAGAAGCTTAGAAGCTTGAGGGATACTCTTTTTTTTTTAAGATTTATTTACTTATTTGAAAGGCAGAGTTACAGAGAGGCAGAAGCAGAGAGAGAGAGAGAGAGATAGAGAGAGAGAGAGAAAGGTCTTTCAGATATCTGCTGGTTCACTCCCCAGATGGCCGCAATGGCCAGAGCTGCACTGATCCAAATCCAGGAGCCATGAACTTCTTCTGAGTCTCCCACCCTGTGCAGGGACCCAAGCACTTGGGCCACCTTCTACTGCTTTCCCAGGTCATAGCAGAGAGCCGGATTGGAAGTGGAGTAGCCAGGATATGAACTGATACCCATGTGGGATGCCAGCACTGCAGGTGGCGGCTTTACCTGATACACCACAGTGCCAGTCTCTGGGGGATACTCTTTACCCCTCCCCCAATGTGAGGACACTTGAAGATACCATCTCCGAGGAATGAGCCCTCACCAGATGCTGAATCTGCTACAGCCTTGATGTTGGACTTCTCAGCCTCCAGAACTAGAGAAGGTATTTTGTTCACTGCTTTATCCTTAGTGCCTAAAACAACTCCTAGCATGAAGTTGGTGTTCAATAAAGATTTGTAGAATGGGTGGGTGAACAAAAGAATGCATGCATTAGAATTGGGAACGGTGGTCTTTCAGATGTCCACATCGCTTTGGGTTTCTGCCCAGGTGTTTTCCTATTGATGTGAAGGAATTCACCTTTCCTGAGCCCCCCACAACATACACAGTTTTATGTTCTTTCTTCAGAATGTTTGCAACCTTTGGATGTATTAGTTGCTTTTTCATTTGTTTGTCTTCTCCATTAAGATTATAAGTTCAGATATCAATGCACAGTACTTTGTAATGATTCAAAGGAAAAAGAGAAGGAAAATGGGGTTAGGAGATTTTCTTTCTATAAAATGTTAAATGGGGAGTTGCTTTCTAACTCCATAGCTTGCCAGAGGTAGGTGTAAAGGAGACAGTAGTGGGAGAGGAAGTGCCTACTTGCCATCTATTTCACCTCCCCATGCCAGGCCTTACAGGATGTTTTAAAAGACGGACTACCATGGAGTAGAAATTTTATCTGGGCTCGCATTGTGGCACAATGGGTTAAGCCACTGCTTGTGATACCAGCAACCCATATGAGTAGCTGGTTTGGATCCTGGCTGTTCCACTTCCAAACCAATTCTCTGCTAGTGTGCCAGGCAAGGCAGTGGAAGATGGCCCAAGTGCTTGAGACCCTGCCACCCACATAGGAGACCTAGATGGAATGCCTGGCTCCTGGCTTTGACCTTGTCCATCCCCCATCATTGTGGTCATTTGGGGAATGAACCAGCACAAGGAAGATCTCTCTCACTCCTTCTCTCTAACTCTGCCTTTCAAAAAAAAAAAAGAACCCTTTTTTATTGAAAAAAGAAACTTTATCCACCTAACCTAAACCACAAAAAGTTAACTTACTGTTGATAAAGCCCATCAGAAGTTGAAGATTAGAAAATGTGAGTCAACAGCAATTGGACTAAATGGGACCAGAGATTGCAATTAGAGAGATACAGAAAGACTTCTTGTTCAGCCAACACCTTCAATTGCAAAACTTTCCCTACAACCAGGAACTACTCCTTCTTTATCCTTTGCTCTATTATTTTAACTGAAGGACAATGCATAAAGAGCATTTGTACTCTCTATTACCTTTAAAAATGTCTTCATTTATGCTTGAAATGTCAGGTGCTAAAAAACATGTTTTTTTTTTAAAGATTTATTTCTTTGAAAGTCAGAGTTACATAGAGAGAGGAGAGAGAGAGAGAGAGAGAGAGAGGTCTTCCATCCAATGGTTCACTCCCCAATTGCCCACAACAGCCAGAGCTGTGCTAATCCAAAGCCGGGGTAAGGACCTTCTTCCAGGTCTCCAATGTGGGTGCAGGAGCCCAAGGACTTGGGCCATCTTCTACTGCTTTCCCAGGCCATAGCAGAGAGCTTAATTGGAAGTGGAGCAGCCAGGTCTTGAACTGGCGCCCATGTGCCAGTGCTTCAGGCCAGGGCTTTAACCTGATGCGCCACAGCGCCAACCCCAAACATGTTCATTTTTGGAAGTTAGTTTGCACATCCAGTACAGCTATCAGAATGGGTGTGAGCTCTACTCTGTAGAATCTTGAGGGGCAAAAATGCTTGAGGTGGCCAGCACAGAGGCTCATTAGGCTAATCCTACACCTGCGGTGCCGGCACCCCAGGTTCTAGTACTGGTTGGGTTGCCGGATTCTGTCCTGGTTGCTCCTCTTCCAGTCCAGCTCTCTGCTGTGGCCCAGGAGTGCAGTGGAGGATGGCCCAAGTGCTTGGGCCCTGCACCCCATGGGAGACTGGGAGAAGCACCTGGCTCCTGGCTTCGGATCAGCGCGGTGCACCGGCCACAGTGCGCCGGCCGCAGTGGCCATTGTGGGGGTGAACCAATGGGAAAAAAAGGAAGACCTTTCTCTCTCTCTCTCTCTCTTACTGTCCACTCTGCTTGTCAAAAAAAAAAAAAAAAGCTTGAGGTGAGAAAAGATATGGGAGGGAGAAAGTAGTGCTCAGTTTCCCATCTTGGTCTTTATTCACCCCTCACCCTTGTTGAGAAATGCACACATAAGCAATTTGTGGGGAAACCTCAGTCTCCTTCTTGTGAACAAAAGTCAGCTGTTACAGAGCCATTATGATGCAACGAGGACCACTAGGATTCTTCCTGCTGTGTCTCTTTATGACATGTGTTAGAATCAAGTCCCTTTTAACATTCTAGTGGCCAAAACTAAGACAGCCTGGAGGCAATGTAACAACTGGAAGGTTTTCCATGTTGGCAAATTTGCAGTGCTTTGTGCAGAAATAAGATTCCTTTTATTCAATGGATATAAGGGAAGAAAAGTATTACAGTGCTACACCTCAGAGTAGCAATTTCAAAACAGCCTTGAATGAATTTGAAAAATTGATTGAGAAGACAGCAATCCAGAAAAAAGAAGAAAGAGCAGGCTTATTTATTCAAAAAGAAGGTAAGTTTAGTGAAGTCCAGCTGGGTTTGAAGATTAGAACTCGGGAACATTTTAAATCATCAGAGAACAGCAATATAGCTTAGCAGCAAAGAAGCTGCATAGCGGGTCTTCAGAACTCCTCAATTTCTGTCTCTTAAATAGTCAAATAGACTGAAGAAGTTTTATTCACTTCTCTAAACTACAGCTGCCTCCATTGTACAATTGGAGGATTGCATTAAATGACATCTCAGAGTTCTGTGAACTCTACCATTTGGTTCCAGTTAATTTGGCCTCTCAATGGAGTATAGTTGGCATTGGCAAGCCATGTGTACCATCTGCCACTTCTTTACCTAAGGGTATCATGAGATTGTACAGTCTTTCCTAAGTAGCACAAAGTGACCTGCTTCACCATGACTCCATTGTCTGGGCCACTCCTCATGTCTCTAAGCAGGAATGACTGGAATGTGCCAAGGTAAGGGGAATGGTGTGGATGGTGGTCTACCAAGAATAAGAGCAACAGAGAATCTGATGTAGAGCTTAAAGTATGGCACCATGGCCAGGATTCAAGGGGAGTTTTGCAGTGAGTGGCTTTTGAGAATAACAGATGAACAGCAGAGTAAAAGACTAACAGAAGTCTTTCTGTTTCAATAAAAGGAGCAGTACCCACATAACTGCTAACGGGATGCTATGGCCAGTTTATTGATGTGCGTGGTATTATTTGAATAGTCTAATAATTTCTAAGGCATTTTTATAAATATAAGTCAATTTACATGATAGTTTGAATAGACAAAAATTTGTATTGCTATTGTGTCCATTTTATTTGTGAAAAGATAGGAGGGGGCAGGTGCTGTGGCACAGTAGGTTAATCGTCCGCTTGTGGCACTGGCATCCCATATGGACACCAGTTCTAGTCCCAGCTGCTCCTCCTCTGATCCAGCTCTCTGCTGTGGCCTGGGAAAGCAATAGAAGATGGCCCAAGTGCTTGGGCCCCTGCACCCATGAGGGAGACCTGGAAGAAGCTCCTAGCTCCTAGCTCCTGGCTTCGAATAGGCTAAACTCCAGCCATTGTGGCCATTTCGGGAGTGAACCAGTGGATGGAAGACCTTTCTCTCTGTCCCTTCCTCTCACTGCCTGTAAGTCTACCTCTCAAATAAATAAAATAAAATCATTTAAAAAAGGAAAGAAAAGATAGGAGATACAGTCATCTGCTTGAGTCACTCAACTTTGAAGTGTTAGAGCTAAGACTTAGACCTTTGAGATATACGCTCTTAGGTGAGTTTCAGCTTGGCTGGGCTACTCAACAAAAATTTCACTGTCAATTTGTTTTTACCTCTCTGAGCTAATCTTTCTACTTCACAAGAGAAAGCAAGACCAAGACACAGAATTTTCTCAAACTGTCCCTCCTCCACCTCTAATTCCCCATCATCAGGAACACCTGTCTTTGTTTTCTTCTCTCACCCTTCCAATGCTACACTATCACTTTGCTGCAATCTCCTTTTATGCTGCCTTTGTCTTCTTAATCTAAAACTACACTCAAGTGTTCTGATCTTGACTTTCTCTTCCATTCAAGTCATCACCATGTCTCTCCTTTGCTTTTGCACTGAATTTCTCCGCATAGCATCACCACCTAATTGTCAATGTACTTGAGTCTGGTTTCCCTAATCTCTTTGCTGAGAATGCTTTTACCCAGGTATTTGGTAACTTAATATGGTTGCCAAATTCAATTAATTGTTTTCACTTTTCCATCTCACTTTGGCCATTGTTACTGCATTAGCACTGTTAGCTGCTTCTGATTTGAAAACAACAAACAAACAAACAAAACAAAACAAAACAACCTCTTCTTCCTGCATCTGCTCTCATATTTTTCCCTGTTTTCGTTCTTTCTTTATTTGTCACTTTTTCTCTTTGAGCTTTGTCCCTTGTGTCCTTTCTCAGTTTATGAACACCATCTACCTTGTTTCCAACACCAGTTATGTTATGTTATTGTGTCTTCCTCTGTTATACTACAACCTTTTCACATAGCACTCTTCTGGCCAAGAGTTTTTTCTCTCTCTATACTTCTGTTGAAAGCATACTAGCTCACCTCTAAAACCCATATATGCTAACTTGGTACTCAGCGCCATTCAAAATCATCTTAGCCTGAATCTTCTGTCATAATATGCACTTTTCAGTATTAGCAAAATGATTTTACATACATCATTCACCTAACATGGAGTTCATTTCTTCCAGTGTGTGTATACTCCTGTAAATATCTGTTCTCTTGCTCATCATACAAGACTCAAACCAAATGTAAACTCTTTGTAAAATATTCCAAATTTCCCTTAAGCAAACTCATACTCAGCACTGCCCATGTACTTTATTACCATCTTAAGGAGTTACTTGCTGCATTTTACCTGCTGAAATTGACATATAATTGGACATGATCATTCCTGCCCCTTCTCCCAGACCATTCATCTGTGAGTGCTTGAAACACTAGGGCCTTGCAATTCTATGTCCCACCGTGTCTCACTATTTACACTCTATCTCTAGGATTCTTACATCACTTACCATCCAACTGGGGACACTTTCATGTATCACTTATCACCCAAAAGAGGTTGTTAAATTGGGAAATGGGCATAAATGAGACTTTCTGATGGCATCCCAGCATGTATGGTTGCCCTAGGTATCACCCTTGCCCAAACCTCTAATGCAATAGTTCCTCTCAGCAGCAGTGTGCTTTAGCGGAAAAAAAAAAAAAAAAAAAAAAAAGTCAGATTGTGTCATTTCCTTTCATAAAAGCTTCCAGTGAAAGCTTTCCATCACCTTTACAGTAAAATCCCAACTTCTGACTCCATTTCAGCCCTCATTCATCTCTGGTCTCACTTTACAGCAATTTCCCAGTCTCAGCTATATTCCATCCTCACTGACCTTCCCAGAACACATTCACCTCTTTCCAGAGGTCTGTGTTTGCCAGCCTCTGCCCAAATGCTCTGATGGGATTTCTACATGGTTCCTTTTTGCTATCATTTGTCAGTTTAATTTTTATACCCACTTCCTTAGAGATGTGTCCCAGAAGTCCACTGCCATCCATCTTATAGCTCTTCATTGGTTTCCTTCCTTTCACTTATCTCATTCTATAATGACTTATGTATTTTTACTTTGTTACTGACGTATAACATACATACAGAAAAGCTGTAAAGTGACCTAATATTAAATATGTAGCTTCATAAATTTGAATATTGGTGAGCACAGTTGTAGCCATGAATGAGATAGGGAACATTTTTAGAATCCCAGAAAGTTGCCACACGTTCTTTTGTCCAATATTCCTTTTTTGCTTTATACTTAGATAACTAGCAATTTAATGTCAGTGTTTATTAATCCACTTTAAATGTCACAATCTGTAAGTAATTTGTTTGCTCTCTTGTTAATTTTCTGATTTTCCCCATTAGAATATAAACTTCCTGAGGGCAACTATCTTATTATCTAGTTTTCCAAGTCCAAGGTCTAGCTCGGTTCTGACACATAGCACATGCTCAGTAAATTTTTGTTAATTAAAGAATCTAATCTTATCTATGCAATTTGAGTGATCCCTTTTTATTCTTTTTTTAAAGATTTATTTATTTGAAAGTCAGAATTACACAGAGATAGAAGGAGAGGCAGAGAGAGAGGTCTTACATCCGCTGATTCACTCCCCAAATGGCCGCAATGGCCGGAGCTGCACCAATCCGAAGCCAGGAGCCAGCAACTTCTTCCGAGTCTCTCACGTGGGTGCAGGGGCCCAAGGACTCGAGCCATCTTCTACTGTTTTCCCAGGCTATAGCAGAGAGCTGGATTGGAAGTGAAGCAGATGGGACTTGAACTTGTGCCCATATGGGATGCCGGCACTGCAGGTGGTGGCTTTACCTACTACTCCACAGTTCTGCCCCCACCCCGTTTATTCTCAGTTTCAATAATTTTTCTCCAGGGAATGATCAAACTCAGCAAAATAAAAATTCAAGGATTGGAGCCGGCGCCGTGGCTCAATAGGCTAATCCTCCACCTTGCGGCGCCGGCACACCGGGTTCTAGTCCCGGTCGGGGCGCCGGATTCTGTCCCGGTTGCCCCTCTTCCAGGCCAGCTCTCTGCTATGGCCAGGGAGTGCAGTGGAGGATGGCCCAGGTGCTTGGGCCCTGCACCCCATGGGAGACCAGGAAAAGCACCTGGCTCCTGGCTCCTGCCAGGATCAGCGCGGTGCGCCGGCTGCAGCGGCGGCCATTGGAGGGTGAACCAACGGCAAAGGAAGACCTTTCTCTCTCTGTCTCTCTCTCTCACTGTCCACTCTGCCTATCAAAAAAAAAAAAAAAAAAAAAAAAAAAAATTCAAGGATTGAATACTCATGTTTACTAGTGTTAAAAAATCAATAAGAACCAACCATAAACTGCTCTTTGCACACTTTTATCTTCTACTTAAGATGTATTCTACCAAACTCTTAGTGAGACTTTTACAATAGGAAAGAAGTAAATTAACTCTTTGCATTCTTGAGTAAAACTACTCAATGCACTAAAACAAAAGCTTTAGAAAAAGCATGAAACACCAAAATAGAAGATTTTCCTCTGATTTAGTAATATTTTAGCCAAAAGTCTAGTTATATTTCCAAAGACAGGATCTTTGAAATTCAGAGAAATCTTGTTGCAAAAAATAAAGAAATAGAATGCTATGAAATTGAAAAAACAGCTGAGGTACAGGCATTGTGGTGTAGCAGGTTAAGTTTGTGATGCCGGCATCCCTTATGGATGCTGGTTCATATCCCAGCAGTTCCACTTCAGATCCAGCTTCTTGATAATGCACCTGGGAAAACAGCAGACAATGGTTCAAGTGCTTGGGCCTCTGCCACCCTTGTGGGAGATCCAGATGCAGTCTCCTGGTTTCAGTCTAGTCCAGCTCTGGTGCTGTGGCCATTTGGGGAGTGAACCAGCAGATGGAAGTTCTCGCTTTGTCTCTCCTTTCTCTTGTAACTCTGCCTTTCAAATAAATGAATTAAACTTAATAAAAAGCAGCTGAAATACAAAATATAGTCCTTGTAATTTGATGAGCATGTACTTGTGCTTTTTCCAATGCAGCTGCAATTGATTATGACAAGTTTTATGCATCAGTTCAGGAAATCTTTGGTCCAGAAGTGAAGAATCAAGATGTGAAGTGCTTTTACAGGAAACTCTGCAAAAACCCTGATGCACCTATAGACTGGTGTGAGGTAGTCATTTCCATATTTATAAGATATCCAAGTATTATTTTTCTTTGTTCAGCATAAATTATCAAATCATATTATTTCCAGAAGGTTTAAATCCAAAATTTGTAACGTGACACACTGTAATGCTACACCCCTTAAGATGTGGTCACTGTCCAGGTAGCTGTTTAACTGCACTATTATTAAGCAACTTTTACACACTTTTAGTTAAGCTGCCTACTGGCAGCACCATAAGTGTCCTTAACAACAACCAAATTTTTAATGGCCTTCATTATTATCTAAATGAGATACTTCTTTTCAAAAGTATCAATGTATACAAATTCTTAATATAAAGACTGGGATTGGTCACCTGTTTCAGTCCATGAGTTGTTGTCTGATTGGTATAATGTTGACTATTAAAAAATTGAAGGATTTAAAATTTATCTGGCTCTTCTTCAAAGCTCAATAGATATAATATGTAAAAAAGAAAGATTTAGATAACTTGACTTTCACATTTAACAGGCTGTTAAATATGTACCAATGGTGTTTTGAACCCAAGATGCAGGAAAAGACAACTCTCTCAAACTCTTATGGGGTCATCACAAAAATTTACATGTACTAATCTGAAAAGAACATTTCCATAAATTCCAGTACATTAAATTGGAAACCCATAATAAAAGACAGCCCAAATCTCTAAAACCAACCCAGAAAAATTATTTTGGGAAAATACTGTAAACAAAAAAGGATATACTATGAAAATTTGTAAGATATCTCACTTTCTATACTGATTATGTGTAAAAATTACATTTTGGTTATACTGGATTAAATCAAATGTATTATCAAAATTAATTTCACTTATTTCTTTTTACATTTTTAATTTGTGGCTACTAAAAATATTTGAAGTTGCATATATGGTTAACATTGTATTTCTTTTGGACATCACAGAACCTGTCAAAATAGACAGAGGAGGAATTCCTCCTGATCGGTGAAGACATTCTTTGCTGGTAAACACATCTGCTAGGAGTCTGACTTTGAGGTAGTGGTTTTGTAGGATTGCCTTATCCTACAAAATTAATTGAACTAGCCATGAAGTACTCCAAATTATTTTTTGAAGAAAAAGAATAGCTAAGTCATCTGTGCCATAGCCTGATTTGTCTCTGATTTCCAAAGACAGCAAAGAGTTAGACATGAAGCATTGTCCTCCAAGATCACAAGCATATGAGAACAAAGGTTAAGATTCACACATTTAAATGTCAGATCAATGAAATAGATCAAGTTAGGCAGTGCATTTGGAAATGCCTATTGGAATAAAGTGATATCAAAATTTTTATTACCATCAGCTAGTTTTACAAAACAGGTCAAATGTGCAGGCCCTCCTCTTAAATTTGAGCAAAACCACAAATAGAGGCTAATATACCATGATTCTAAATATTTAAAAAATTTAAATCCAGCTTACTACTAAGTAAATATATCTATCCTCCAATCTTTAAAATATACCATAAGAATGTCCTGGACATCTAGATCATAATTTAAAATTTCCTCTTATATTCCTTATAGTTTTACAGTGAAACATTAAGACAAGGATAGAGATGTTCCTGGCTCTCCTCCTTTCTTTGCCATTAGTAGCTCCATCCCACATCATGAGGAGCCAGGCATGTACCCTATGAACACCCCAGCCTTCCACATTCTCACGCTCACCAATGCTTTTCCTTGTCTATTTCTCAGACCTAGTGGTGCAGTGATGTGCACTCTACCTTCATGGGTTTAGTCTCATAGGCTCTGGGAGTAGGAAATGAGTACTTTGGGCAGGGAATTCTGAGATCCCAGGAATGTAGGGCATAATTTAAAAGCATTGGCATGAACTGAAAGACAATGGTCCCTTAGAAAGAACTATACTGAGATGCTCCAAAGTTGGGCAGTCCAGACAGCAGCCACTAGCCACCTGTGCTATTCACATTTAATTTAACTTAAAAATTCAGCTCCTCAATTGCATTAGTTACATCTCAAGTGCTCAGCATCCACATGTCACTGGTGGCTATCATACTGAGGAAGACACATTGTGGGGTATTTCTAACATCACAGAAAGTTCAACTGGACAGAGCTGCTCAATAGGCCTGGATCCCAGGAGCAGTGGTCTAAAAGCAATACTGCAAATGGAAGGGAGGCTGATTTGTTTTTATAACCTACTGGTTCAATCAAGCAGGAAACGAATACGTATATGTTTCTTAAGAAAAACTCTTGGCCATCCAAAGATTGAGAGTGTGGAGGAATCACGTGAACAGTGAAGCAGTTGGTGACCTTATCTCAACACAGACAGACAGACAGACAGACAGAAAGCCTATGTTTCCCCTCTAAATCATGGAAGTGTACAGTGTAGTTCACTTTTCCCCAGGATCTTGGCTCTATGACATTGTATAAACAGCTTGCACAGTCTGCTACATATCTGTAGCTTGAATTCTATGTCACTAACCTTTGAGTAGATGTGATTTTAAGATACGCACATCTTCACTGTTCCCTATTTTTCAAGTGAATATTTCTCACACAATAAATGGTTTATGTTCTTGAATTTCAAATGCAATAATTTTGGGCCACTAAATGTATGAAAATATGTGTAAAACAAACATTTCACATCAACATGAAAAATTATGCACATCTGGAAATTAGAGAAGTATGTTCATACTACACTATACTTAATTTCAGAAAACCAGTGCTCTAAAATGCCAACACGAGACACAGCACTTTGTTGTAAATCCATTTACATGGAGTTACATAGTAACAGAGAATTTGGCCTCTGAATGTGATGAAAGTCATATTGGTCATATAGCTGAAAACATTGAACCTCATTCTCTCCAACAGCTGCTCCTCTCTTTCTCCTTTTTTTTCCTTTCCAGTTAGAATCTCACAACCTTATTACATTTGTAAAATGTCTTCCATTTTTTCAAGCACCTCCCTTTCAGGTTCTCATTTAATCTTCACAATGGCCCCAAAGTATTGATGAGAGAGAATAACAACAATAATCATAAAGATGAAGAAAAGGAAGCACATAGGGGTTAAATGACTTATGTAAAGCCTCTCAGAAAGTCGGTTTTGCTATTGCTGGTGAGGTTTTAGTCTCTATGTAGTAATTTCATTTGACATTATCCTGTCACATAGCTTGGGTTCCTATCAGTCATAAGAGAGTTTAATAGAAAGTCCTGTGACCAGCCTCTGGTCACAGTGTGTATGTGAAGAATCACCTGAGGTGCTGAGGCTGTGGTGTAGTGGGTAAAGCCACATCTTCAGTGCTGGCATCCCATATGGGCAGTGGTTCAAGTCCTGGCTGCTCCACTTCTGATCCAGCTCTCTGCTATGGTCTGGGAAAGCAGTAGAAGATGGTCCAAGACCTTGGGCCCCTACACCCTTGTGGGAGACCTGGAAGAAGCTCCTGGCTCCTGGCTTCAGATTGGCGCAGCTCCAGCCATTGTAGCCAATTAGGGAGTGAACCAGCAGATAGAAGACCTCTCTCTCTCTCTGCCTCTCCTTCTCTCTCTCTGTAACTCTTTCAAGTAAATAAATAAATCTTAAAAAAAAAAGAGTCACTTGAGGTGTGAGAAAATGACACAGAACAGTATTCTTTTATTGCACTTGTCATTTTCCTTACTATCTGTGCCAATGCCTCTAACAGGCATTCTGTTTCAAGGCATGGGAGCTAACCTTTATGAACTTCAGATTGGTCTTCTGTAAAATCCAAATGCTGAAAGATTAACTTCATTTCAGGACAGATCACCTGTTTGGCTTTGTTTTTATTTTTTTAATCAACTGACTTTAATCTTATCAGGTAATAAGAACTGGGTTTACTTTTTTTAATTCAGGCACAGATGTTCACATTGGATTCCAAATATAAATCTGATATAGGAATACCACACATGATTATACTTCCTTTTCTTAGATTTTAGATGCGAATGCAATTGAACTTGGAGAGCTTGAGATTCATAGAATAATGGAATCTTAGAACTCAAGGAAAACATCACCTAGAATTGCTCTTTTCACTTACAATGAGAAATATTAGATGTAAAGAAATGTGATTGCCTTATGTTTGAATAAATATGTTAAAGCTAATCAGTGGAAGAGTGTGGTGCAGCTACAATCTATTTTTCCTACAATTCCTTGTTAGTGGTGTTGGGCAATTCATAAACACAGTAGCATAGTACAAATTAATTCAAAGAAGAACAATGTAACACCATATGAGATGCCTATAATTATGTTCCTTCCACAAAGTGAATGTAAAGTGAATTATTATAAATCTAAAATTACATTTGCTAACTCCAAAAATAGGAAAAGAATGTCCCAGGGTGGCTTAAAAAGTAAGTTGCATGCAGGTTTTTATTTTCCTCTGTCTGCTTTTCATTTTCTCCATATGTTCCATAATGAACATGTGTTCCTTATGTAATCAAAAAAAAAAAAAAAAAAGGAGAAGATGAGTCACTTGAAGTATGGAGCAAGCCCTGTAAATAGCATAATTAAAATTAATACTTTAATAGTCATAGTATGTCTAATAATCATAAAATACTCAAATTGTATCATAAGTATAATTGTTTTACTGAAATTTAAAATGTTGAGAGAGAAATTTGAGATCCTTGAGGCAAATGTCCATTATAGGAGGACAAATTTTCTGCTCTTCAACCTCAATATTTGCTTGAAATATTTATTTTTAAAATGTAGGGGTGGATATTGTGGCACAGGGGCTAAGCTGCCATATGCAATGCCCACATTTTCATGTAGGAGTGACTAGTTCTAGTCTCAGCTACTTCACCCTTCTGATCCAGATTCCTGCTACTGTGCTTGGGAGGCAGCAGATAATGGCCCAAATAGTTAGGTTCCTACCTCCCACATGAGAGACCTGGATGGAGTTCTTGGCTCCTGGTTTTGACTTCACCTAGCCTTGGCTGTTGCAGGCATTTGAGGAGTGATCCAGCAGATGGAAGATTCTGTCTCTCTCTCTCTCTCTCTCTCTCTGTGCCATCCAAATAAATAAGCACATTTTCAAAATGTAAACTTTTAATCGTATCTTCTGTAGTAGTTTATCTGTATAATATAATAAGCTTTTCCTCAAGAAATGTTAGTAATTTGATATTTTTAGTATCCTTTGAAAGCTATTGTTGGCAAGCATTTCAATATTGTGCCATTTCAAATGAAAGTAGCAAAAACATATCCTTAAGAACAGGTGTCCTGCACAATAGCACATATCTCCTACATATGTTTGATTATAAAATATATGAATGATTAAGTGCATGACTGATGTGTTGCCTACACAGGCAACAACAGTGCTTAGTGGGCAATTTTAAACTGGCAAGGATGCCTCCTGAGTTCCATCTCTGGAAAAAGTGGGAAATACAATTACTCAAATGTTGACATGATTGAGCTCCTTCCTGGTACTCGGTATAATCAAAGTATTTCCTCATCTTCCTAACTACAAAGTACTCTAATCTTTTACTTCTCTAGTTAATTCTTAGAAAAAGGCATAAGATGGGGTTATTACTGATTATCCCTATTTTTCCAGATATGGAAAAATCAGGCACAGAGAAACTAAGGGAGTTTCCTGTGGTCATGTGACTAGTAGACAGTAGAACCAGGATTTAGACTCCTGCCCAAGTCCTAAAGCATCTAGTTATGCCTCCCAAAGGGCATTGCCTCTTGACTTCTCACAGCTGTTTTCAGATTTTTAACATAAACATTGTCATGATCTCCAAAAAAATTACATAAATGTTACAAATCTGGTTAATCTACTATACACTTCTCTTTGAGGCTAAGTGTCACAGACATATGGCACATTATTTCAAATTAGATGACAGCACATGTTCTCTGGAGTTCTTTAAGTCATTAGCATAGAAATGAAGAACCATGATTCCCACTGTCATTTCACATTAATATCTGAAAATTATTATTTTACTCTATTTCAGGATAAATTTGCAGCTAGCATTATCAACTTTTTGTTATATTCTGTGTAATTTAAGTTGTACTGAGTAGCGTTTATAAAATGAGGATGTGATAAGAATTCTTTTTAAAAATTATTTGATAGACATAGAGACACACAGAGAGAGACAGAGGCAGCTCATTTGCTGGTTCACTCCCCAAATGCCTGCAACTTCCAAGGCTGAGCTGGGGCTGGAGCCAGGAGCCATAAATTCAATTCAGGTCTCCCATGTGGGCGGCAGGAACCCAGTGACTTGATACAATACAGTCTCTCAGGGTCTGCATTGGTTGGAAACTGGTATCAGGAGCTGGATCTGAGAACAGAACCCAGGCACTCCAATGTGGAATGCTTGCAGTTTGATATAATTCTAAAGGTATTCCTCTCTTCCAAGATTCTTGTCTCCTGGTTGGGCAATTAAATACTAATCTAGGTAATGCTGTGAAGGGCCATTACAGAAAAAAATTAGATACTAATTAGTTAATCTTCAAATAGGGAGGTCATCCAGGATTATCTAGGTGAATCCAATGTAATTGCAACTCCTGGGAGGTAGAAAAGAGAATCCAAGTATAAAGAGAGCTTTAAGCTCTCTTGCTGTTGCTGAGATATATGGACCCATGTACTCAGAATGAATAGAGGCCTCTAGGAACAAACGGCAGTCCTAGTTTATAACCAGTAAGGTCATCCGGCAAGGAAATATACCTCAAGCCAACAACCTCAATGAATGCCCAAGCAGAGTCTTCCCCCAGTGTCTCCAGTAAAGAACTTATCTCTACAAACACCTTGATTTTACACCAGTGAGTTCTGCAGAACTGTGAACCAACAGACATTGTTTTAAGTCACTATCTTTGTGCTGATCTGTTTTGGTAGCCATAGATAACTAACACAGAGAGGAAAATGTCAAGTTCACACACTGTGTGTCTGTTGTTAGAAACAACAGATAGGGGCCTGCATTGTGGCACAGTGGGTTAACGCCCTGGCCTGAAGCGCTGCATCCCCTATGGGCACCGGTTCTAGTCTCGGCTGTTCCTCTTCCAATCTCGCTCTCTGCTATGGCCTGGGAAAGTGGTAGAGGATGGCCCAAGTCCTTGGACCCCTACACCCGCGTGGGAGACCTGGAAGAAGCTCCAGGCTCCTGGCTTTGGATCGGCGCAGTTCCGGCCGTTGAGGCCAATTGGGGAGTGAACCAACAGATGGAAGACCTCTCTCTCTCTCTCTCTGCCTTTCCTCTCTTTGTGTAAATCTGACTCTCAAGTAAAACAAAATAAATCTTTAAAAAAAATAGATAATGTGTAGCCATAAGATGAATTCAAACTGGCAATTTCAGGAGGTAGGAGCATTTGGAGAAGGCAGCTTGGGGAAAGTAAGAAAAGGCCTCAGGATTACCTATTTTGAGTTTGGAAGCTATATTGTATTTTTGTTTTTAAGATGGGAGAGATGTGAACATGTCTGAACCCTGAACGGAAAAGGCAGTAAAATGGGAAAGAGAAAGGAGGCAAATTCTGAAGAAGAGTCATTTGAGAGTGGCCAAATTCTGTGTCAAGGTTCTTATCTGGGGCCCTGCCTTGTGAAGGCTGATTTGATTTCCAAATCAGTACCAGTTCCTGAACTGATGTGTCAGTTTGAGAAAGCACATCAACCTGGTACATTGATTCTTCTATTTGAAAGAAAAATCAGCGACCACTCACATCGAATGTTCCATCAGTATTCATTTTGTTGAATATATTAAACTGTCTCCTTTTAGTATGAGGAATATCCTATATTTATGAAGCAAAGTGTAGGTAGTTAATCCAAATTTGACTTTAAATTCAGTCTATATAAACTCTTATTTTACAGCCCATTTCAACATAAAATGTCATGTTAATGTGTGTTGTTTGGGATTTCAGATCTTTGGATATTTCTCCAATGAAAAAGATGCTCTTTCTTCAAAGATGGATGAAGAAAATTTGATTTTCCTGGTCTCCAGAAAACAACGAGTTAAAATTGCAGGTGACAAATTTCCCTTCCAAATTAGTGTATGCTATTGTATTTTTGTCTCAAATATAAATATTGTGAACATGGTGTTTCCATAGAATCACTTTTCATTTTATTTACTTGCTCAATACTTTGCAGTATGAAGGGTAAAGTGACAGTTCTAGCTGAAGTATCAGAAGAAACTGCACCTGCTGTTGAAGCTGAAATATTATCATTTCTCTGAAGGACACTAACTAGGAAGTATGAGGGGACAAACTCATATTTTCCTGAAAGGCTCAGAACTCAAACTTCTAGATGGCAGTATTTTAATTATCCTCCAATATAAAATAAAATCATGTTTGTTTTTAAAGTATTCTTAATTTAAGTTTTCACTAGTTAGGCCTCCTCCCCATGTGCTCATCTGCCTTTGATTATATTAGTGTAAAGGTTTGCCTTGCATCCCTAAAGCTGTGAGTCCGGGCCAGTCATGGAAGTGTGTTCTCTCCTGTTAGGAAGGCTCCAGTTCACAGTCATTTACTGTCAAAGTGGAGCTTAGGTTCTGGGAACTCACATAACTCTCTGCTATTGACACTTTGGATTTCCTTCCTTTTCTCTTTCATGCAGGGTGGGAGAAGTTTGGGAAGAAAACAGGCAAACTCTTGAATCTTTTCCAATCTTGCAGCATTTTAGTCCTTTATGAACTAAGTCCAGTTTTATCCTGCCCTTCCCTTGGCCCAATCATAGGCATCATCAGTGCCCAGTCTTTGGTTGTGGGAACTATGACCCAAGAACAAACACAGCTGGTTGTACTGATGTCACACTGCTGAGCTGAGGAAGGACTAGTGAGTGAGAGAGAGATGCTGCCAACATCCTAAATTAGAACCTTGGGAGTGTTTTTCTAGATGGTAGTTAGGTTTTATCATTCATTTAGCACTTAACAAATATTTACTGTGGTCTACAATGTGGGGTGGGAACAGACATAAATTCCTCACCTCACAGAGTTCACATTCCTTTTTAAAATTTTATCTATCTATCTATCTATCTATCTGAGAGAGAGAGAGAGAGAGAGAGAGAGAGAGAGAGAGAGAGAATTACATTCCTATCCCTTTGTCTACTCCCTAAATGGTTGGTGTTGGACCTGGGTCAAAGCCAGGAGACAGGAGACAGAAATGCGATCCAGATCTCCCACAGGGATAGCAGGAACCCAGTGACTTGAGCCATGACCACTGCCTTCCAGCATCTGCATTAGCAGGAAACGAGTCAGGAGCCAGAGCTAGAATGCAAACTCAGATACATCTTAACTGCTAGGCCAAACAACTACTCCCAAGAGTTAAATTGTGTGATAATCTAACTGTTCTTTATTCTTTTCTGAATTCTTTAAAGTATTTTCCAATAAAAAAAAATAGAAACAAAATAAGAGTTTATGTTCTAACGAGGAGAGACAGAGACAACAAAAACAAAACAAAAAAAAATAAAAAAAATATGCAGGATACCAGATGGTCATAAATGCTGTAGGAAATAAAAATAAAGTAAGCAGTTTGTGGAGAAAAATAAAGCAGGAGTGTGGGAAGGAGCAGTTGATTTGGAGAGTGGGAACGTGGTGTCAACAGTGGCCAGGGAAGATGCCACTGAGAAAGCAAAGCAAGCCCTGGAAGATGTGAAAGAGCACACCACAAGGAGGAGTAGAACTCATGGGGGTTGGAACTAGAAGGTGAGGCTGGTGAGGCCGCAGTGGGCAGGAGGACATTGCCTAGGACCTTGTGAATGAGACAAAAAGCCACAAAAGGGCTATGGGTAGAGGAGAGACATGATATGAGTTACACATTAAATGTGATTCTGATTTGAAAACAGTCTATTCTGAGGAAGAAACAGGAGCAGAGAGAATGATGGTGACTTGGAATACGACCAAGTGTCTCAACCATTTCTTCATTCTGACCAGTGAGGAGCCCTCTTAGACCGTTTTTACCTGTTCATTATCCTCTCCTCTACTCCACCCTGCTCCAGGACATTGTAATACCGCAGACATTAATTATTAAGATTAATTATTAAGTGTATCTGATGATGTTCTATATATCCACCTGGGACTTGTGCAAGAAAAGAGTAAGAATTACTCATGCTCCTAATCCACAAAACAAATCTGTACCCTTTGGATGGCAGTATCTTCTCTAGTGAAATGCCTGAGGGTGGTAACACTAGAATAAGAGATTTGTTCACTTGATTTCCCTAAGAGTTTACAGCTATAAAGATCAGATCACCCCAGAAGTCCAGTAAATATATATGGCTCAGGACTGGCGCTGTGGTGTAGCAGGTAAGGCCTCTGCCTGCAGTACTGGCATCCCACATGGGTGCTGGTTCGAGACCCGGCTGCTCCACTTCTGATTCAGCGCTCTGCTATGGCCTGGGAAAGCAGTAGAAGATGGCCCACGTCCTTGGGCTCCTGCACCTGCATGGGAGACCTGGAAGAAGCTCCTGGCTTTGGAGCGGCGCAGCCCAGGCCATTGCGGTCAATTGGAGAGTGAACCAGTGGATGGAAGACTTCTCTCTCTCTGCCTCTCCTTCTCTTTCTGTGTAACTCTGACTTTCAAATAAATAAATAAATCTTTAAAAAAATGTATATATATATGGCTTTATCCTTCAGTACCTCAGCATAGAAACATGCAAGTGTCTAGTGTTTCAAAAGGCACAAAGTTCAAACAAAGCCTTTTTAAACATTTTTTTTTTATTTGAAAGGTAGAGTTCCACAGAGAGATGGGGCGACATCTTCCATCAGCTGGTTCACACCTCAAACCATCGTAATGGCTGGGGCTGGCCAGCCTGAAGCCAGGAGCCAGGAGCCGGGAGCCAGGAGCCAGGAATTTCTTCTGGGTCCCAGACATGTGGGTGCATGGGCCCAAGCACTTGGGCCATCCTCTGCTGCTTTCTCAGGCACATTAGCAGGGAGCAGAATTGGAAGCAGAGTAGCTGGGGCTCAAACCAATGCCCATATGGGATGCTGGCCTCACAGGTTGCAGCTTACCCTGTTATGCCACAATGTTGGGCCCCCAAACACAGCCTTAATAACAGTATTGAAGCACTTTCATTGTTTTATACTGGAAAGCCTGAGAGAATATTGGGTTTTTATTCTGTGTAAGCCATAATGGTGCCAGTTTGAAGAAAGGATTCTTAAGACATGCTAAAATTTTTACTGTGATGTAAATTAAAATACATTCTCTCAAAAACTAAAAAAAAAGGTAGAAAAAAGATAAAAGTAGGAGGGTGAGAGGGAGGGAGGAAGGGAGTATCATTATGTTCTTAGACTTGTATCTATAAATCATATTGAATCTATTAAAATGAATTAAAATTAAAATAAAAAATAAACAAGTAAAAATGGTAAAAAGAAACACATTCCAAAACCATATTTAGAAAATTCATTCTCTGTGAAATGCGCACATGTGCATGTGTGGGGAAGGTATGAATATCTTAGATTTTCTCCAGGAATTCATGCATCGCATTTAATTGGAAAGCTCTGTACTCATATTCAGGTTAGTATCTCTGGGAATCATTAAAAAGCAAGAGTAACTGGTTTTCATGGTTTAGTCTTCAATTTTTAAGTAACTTGGAAGCTTTTAGCAAAAAGTTGTTTTTCTTTTTAAGCAACTTAACCATTGAGTTTTAGGGTCTTCACTGCTGGAAGTTAAAATGAATATTGTTATTGATAGGTAGTAGAAGACGGGATGAGATCAAGTGCATTGTCAAGATTCCTCAATTGGATTTACTAGTAACAGCTTCTCAGAAAGGATTACTCACTGTCTTTAATAGCCAGGTAATTTGAAATCTTGGATCACCCTCCTTCCCTCCACACATCCCTTGGTACCTTCCTACCTTCCTTTCTCCCCCTCTCCCTCTTTTGTCTAAGTATTATGCATATGTATCAGGTATAGCAGAAACCACAAACCACATTTCAGAGTTATTTCCCAAAATAAAACCAAATACTTAGTACAGAGGAGACTGCTGAGCAGATTTGTGATTGCACTTCCCATTTTTCCTCAGGATGTCATATTGAACCTTGTGGCATCAGTACAGTGAAAGAGTGATCCTGGACAATTTCTCAGATTAAAATAAAAAACACTCGAGAGCCTTGGATTTGGAGTAAAAATATGGTTCAAATTCTAGCCTTTGTATTTGACTAGCTATGATGTTAAGTACGGAACTTAGTGAGCTATTTAAATCTTTTTGTAACTCTTTTTTGCACTGTAGAATTAAAATAATAGGACCAGTCCCTTCTCCCTTAGTGAAGTACTGAAGGTCAAACGAGACAACATAAGTAGAGATAAACAATAAATCCCTATATGAACATAAGGCATCGCTATTATCAATGTCACTTTTTATAAATTTATAAATTTTTATTTTCATTTCCAATTAAAATATAAGTGATTTTAAGAGAATATGTGATGATATACAATATATAATATTTCACTATGTTTACAAATAAATCTTTAAACAACAAGAAAAAGACAAAAGATGGATGTTTGATGATGAATATAGAAATATGTAATTATTAGTTTATTTCCAATGAGAGGCAAGCATAACAGAAGTAAAATATATTCCCAGCTGTACTTTGGAAATTTATATTCATTAAATAAAAGTTAAAAAAAAAGTAAAATATATTCCCAATAATCATCATATGATTAAAATTTCTGGTGATTTCCAGCCCTTCAGTAATGTCCAGCACAGAGACTCTTAGAGAAGTTGAAGTCACAGCCAACCAGGTTCTGTCAAGAAGAGGGCTGGCTTTGACCAGACATGGTCCAGTGAAGGATCTGAAGGGTGGGCATGGACCCTGGGTCCATCCTAGCACTAGTACCTACAGCTGTGCATAGTACCTAGTATCCCCATGCACTGGATCCTCATCCACAACCATAGCCCTTCTCTCCCAAGGGAGACCTACCATTTAAATGAGTTAGTAAACATGAAGTATTCAGCATTACTATAAGCACTCAGTAAATGGAGGCAATTAATATTAAAGACAAATAATGTGAAGACCATCTCAGTCTCTTTTTCTTTCAGTACATTTGTCTTCTACTCATTTTTTACTTTTATTTTCATAAAAACAGAAATAAGATGGTATCTAAAGAAAAATGCAAAAAGGAATGTCATGTCAAATGTAAACAATGATCTGCCTAATAAAATTGTTCAGAATTATGTGACCTAATGAGGTAGCATTATGTTTCTAGAGATGCTTTGTACACACACACACACACACACATACACATATGCAGACTTATATGTACACACATGTATACTCACAAGTGCAGACACTCACGTATGTTTCTTATAATTGAAAATGAAATATTACTAAAGATTTAAGATTTGACACATAAGTAATAAATATTACTTTGAATATTAAATGCCTTATAAATGATATACTGTAAGAAAAAAGTAATTTGGAAGTACAGGTCACAGGAATAATTTATTCAAAAGTATTCATTAATAACTCAAAATATATTATTTTAATCTGTAATTTAGACTCTATCTGATGAAGAATAAATAAATACAGTTGGTGATTTTCCTGGTAATATAGATGCTAAGTGTCATAATAAAAATTTCTGCAAATAAAAGCTAGATTTTCAAAATTCAGAAGACATCTATACGAATTATGAAACTTATAAAGAAGGTAAGAGTAACTTAATAGGTGACTTCCACAAAACAAAAGGTGGATGTAAACAGATAGAAGAGGAAACCATCTGTTTTGCTGCTCACCAATTTCCTTACAGAGCTTTCTTTTCCCACCTAGAAAAAAGGCCCTGTTTGGAAGACACTTTCTGAACTCTTCCAATGAAAAGACCATCTGCAGGAGGTCACGACTAAGAGTTTTAGTGATCTCCTTGATCTACTTTTTCTTATTTCACATAATCCATTCCTTCTGGGAAGTCATTTCCTACATATTCCCCAGGACTATCTGAGACCAAAAGAAACCAGGTCATGGAGCTATGTCAACTACTTCCTTTATCTTGGGGGCAATTAGTATGCCTTTAGGGTATGAGAGGCTGCTCAAATATGTACCAGTTCTCTGCAGGAGCCAAATCTCTGATTCTCAACAAGTTGAATACTCAGGGCATGATGCACTCAGCACATACTTGTTGAACAGAAGATGAGGCCCATTGGTTAGAATGTTCTTTGTCTTTCAACAACTTGAAAAGATAACTATTTCTACTTCACTGTATATTCCTATTGACTTATTTAGCATTCTTTTTTTTTTAAAATGGAAGTTCTTTCTTTCTTTCTTTCTTTCTTTCTTTCTTTTTTTTTTATTTGACAGATAGAGTTAGTGAGAGAGAGAGACAGAGAGAAAGGTCTTCCTTCCGTTGGTTCACCCCCCAAGTGGCCGCTACGGCCGGAGCTATGCCGATCCAAAGCCAAGAGCCAGGTGCTTCCTCCTGATCTCCCACGCGGGTGCAGGGGCCCAAGCACTTGGGCCATCCTCCACTGCCTTCCCGGGCCTCAGCAGAGAGCTGGACCAGAAGAGGAGCAGCTGGGACTAGAACCCAGTGCCGATATGGGATGCTGGCGCTGCAGGCGGAGGATTAGCCAAGTGAGCCACGATGCTGGCCCCTATTTAGCATTCTTTTAACCTCTCTTGTCACTGCTGTTCATATTATTTTGCATTCCAATTTTCTATATCAAATATTGCTCTGAATAATTAAAAAATATGAGGTAGCTTGCAGATAGAAGAAACATAACACATAGTCAAATGTAGACTCTTCAGAGTAGAGACACCAGGTTTAAACAGGAGCCTTACAGGTAAGTTTAAATGCCTTGCCCTAAGTACACCATGCATATTATTCCACAGATAGAGATGTTTCAGAGGAAGGAGAAATAGGGTAGAGATTCATGAAGGTGGAATAACATGTAATATTAAACTGAGGACATACTGTTTTATTTTAGAGTCAGCATTCTCATCTTTAATTGTAGTGCCAACTAAGTTTCATTTTTCTTTTCTGCTGTCCATAGATGAAAGTTCAGACCAGCATCAATGTTACAGTAAGTACATTTGCTACTTTAGGGCTATGATAATGGTTCTACTGTAATTAATAATAATCTCAACATAGCTGCTTGCATATGGCTTTGAGTAAAAGATATTTTGTGGAATGTAAATTCATTTTTATGTACTAGGATCAAAGGTAAATCTTGAGCAACAGTGAAGAATAGCCAGGTCTTGCTTTCTGGAGTTAAATCGACTGCAGAGGATTGCTTGGAAATGGATTACTTGTGGGAAGCTTCAGTTTAAAAGCTTCTAAGTTTTCCTAAGCATCCCCTACTGAGGACACAATCCAGGTTGTGAGAACAAGGAGGTACCCTTGAAAACAACCGGAAAGCAGTTTATTTTAAACTTGAAATTGAGTACAAATTTGCACTTCAGTCAGTGCATACCACTGTCACTCATAGGAATAGTAATCTTGGGACAGATGTTGTAAAGTCTCAATGACTTGCTTGTAGAACCCCACCACAGGTTTATGAGAGATGCGAAAATGCCTGAATTTCTCACCTTCCTTGCATAAGTACATCAAACTACAAAGCAGTGCTAAGGAGTCTGGATTCTCTCAAAATGTCTGAGCCTCCATTTCTTAAGCTGAAAAAAAAATCAGTTAGAATTCTTAACAGATGTTACAGAAGTGTCAAGGGCAGGCCCAAGACACATGTAGCAGTGTCTGGCACACTGGATATTAAAAAAATGGGAAGTATCATTTTTCTTCCACAGTGTGTTGTTGATATTATAGATCCCAGCTATGCTGGCTTGGTGACACAGGACACAAAACAAACTCATTGGTCTCAACTTGTCACTGACCAAATAATCAGTAAAATCTTCCAGCTATAAAATTTTACTATGGGAACAGGGCCAGACAACCTGCTTTACTGAGTACCCTAAATCTAATCTCCTTGTTCCCATGTGGAGAAATAGGAGTCACTGTGCACTTATTCCTCATGTAGGATCTCTGTCCTAAATGTGCTGTATATTGTGATTTAATGCTATTACTAGTAATCAAACAGTACTTTACACTTTGTGTTTCTGTGTGGGTGCAAACTGTTGAAATCTTTACTTAATATATGCTAAATTGATCTTCTGTATATAAATAGAATTGAAAATGAATCTTGATGTGAATTGAATGGGAGAGGGAGCGGGAGAGGGAGCATGAGAGGGGAGGGTTGCGGGTGGGAGGGAAGTTATGGGGGGGAAGCCATTGTACTCCATAAGCTGTACTTTGGAAATTTATATTCATTAAATAAAAGTTTTTTAAAAAAAAGGTGAATGGTGTTCAGAGATGGCTGATCTGCCAGCTGCCGTGTGCTTCCAGAGACTGCCTCTGGCATTAGCTGATCATGGTGCAGCCGATGGCAGTGAGAAATCAGGGTCACAATGAAAGGGGGAAAGATGGGAGCCTCTCCTCAAGATACTCAAAGGAAGCTGTGTAAGGTTCTTCCCTAAAGAAAGTCACAAAATGGGGCTCATCACATAACTAAGCTAGTCTTTAGTACCACTACTATGTCAAAAGAGGAAACCCATTGTATCCCCCAATTCTGTGTTCCTATCAGGGTACCTCCTGGATTACAGGATGTGATTACCTCTTACAGCTGAAACGAATTGTTGCCATTACAGAAAGGAGCATCATTATCTGGGATTATAAAGCTCAAGAGAACAGCCAGGTACTGTGCCAAGAGAAATACTCAAAGAAATGGGGTAGCCTGAGTGGTTGGCCTGGATTTGATCAAATCCAATATTAATATCCTGTAATTAAAAGGGGTGTTTTTTCTGTTTAATGTATGTGTATTTAATTCTGGATTTTCTGTTTAATTTGGTTTTGAGAGGGAGAGGCTAATTCCTTTCTTTTTTAGTACCCTTCTCTGAATCCAAGTAATATTTTTCTGGTTATGCTTATGTTATCAAGTTCAAAGCTTCTTTCTTTAGGTAAGAAAATGGCTAAAATAAAATGTTTAACTCTGACCAAAAAAAAAAAAAAAGTCTAATGAGGCAGCTCATCTATGACTGACATGTTGCCATGCCAGGAATAATCTTTGGCACATAGCAGATGCTCAATAAATATTTTTTGATGGATTGAACTAATTTATACAGACTGAATTCCAGAAGAGCAATAGCTGTAGAGCTTAATGAACCATTCAGTAATAATAATTGGCTTGAGAAATGTTTGCTGAGTATTTCTAGATAACTTGGATGTTAGGATATTTTTACTCCTGATAAGTCTCTGTAAGATAATTGAGACTGATACTTGAGTTTCTTGATTGCCACCTAGTTTTATGTCAATGATATGGTAACATCTGGATCTTTTTTAGGCTTCTTGTGAATATTTTCTGATAAATCCAATAGATAGCAATACATCAGAAAATCATTAACTATTGAGCCAGAGGTAGGTCCTCTACCCACTTTCCCATAAAGCACCCAAAAGCATTATGTTGGGCTCACAGTGTTTCTTAACCTTTATTTGGTAATTTTGTCTTTTTAAAGTTCCTTTACCCAGCCATGCTATGCTGGGAATTTACCCAAGGGAAATGAAATCAGCAAATAAAAGAGTTATCTGCACCCTCATGTTTATTGCAGCTCAATTCACAATAGCTAAGACATGGAATCAACCTAAATGCCCATCAACTAAAGTCTGTATAAATTATGGGATATGTACTTTATGAAATACTACACAGTGGTAAAAAAAATGAAACCCAGTCATTTGCAACAAAATGGATGAATCTGGAAACATCATACTAAGTGAAATAAGCCAGTCCCAAAGGGACAAATACCATATATTCTCCCTGATCTGTCATAACTAATAAAGCACCTAAAAAGAAATCTGTAGAAATGAGATTGACACTTTGAGAAGCAATGACTTGAATATCCCTTGTCTTGACTGTCCGGGACAGTTTTGTTTTTGTTTTTTTCTTAATGGAGAATGGGACTGGGAATGGTAGAGGGAGGAGGAGGTAGGGGTGGAGTAGGGGTGGGAGGGCAGATATGATGGGAAGAATCACTATATTCCTAAAGTTGTACTTATGAAATTTGTACTCATTAAATAAACAGTTTCTTTGGGAAAAAATTTTAAAAAATAAAGTTACTTTTTCACTGTGGAAAGATCTAAAATGAGAAATATCAGAAAGTAAAATTTTTATCAAATAATAGGGGTGATAAACATTAAATAGAATAACGGGGCTGGCACAGTGGCTCACTTGGTTAATCCTCTGCCTGTGGCGCTGGCATCCCATATGGGCCCCGGGTTCTAGTCCCGATTGCTCCTCTTCCAGTCCAGCTCTCTACTGTGGCCTGGGAGGGCAGTGGAGGATGGCCCAGGTGCTTGGGCCCTTGCACCCGTGTGGGAGACCAGGAGGAAGCACCTGGCTCCTGGCTTCAGATCGCCGTAGCTCCGACTGTGGCGGCCATTTGGGGAGTGAACCAATGGAAGGAAGACCTTTCTCTCTGTCTCTCTCTCTCACTGTCTGCAACTCTACCTGTCAAATAAAATAAATAATAAATAAATAAATATTAAATAGAATAAGACAATAGCTCATTTGAAGTGTTCTTCTGTTTCTAGGAAAACTACTTTGTGATTGAGCCCATGGACCCCCGCCTCCTGTGTGTGTGTGTGGTGCCTATGCCTGAACAGCTCTACAGAGATGACATCCTCTTTGGGGATGACAGTGGTTTTGTGAGCAGATTCACCATAAATAGTGTTGACTTTCGACTAAAGCAGACAAAATCCAAAAGGAACTGTCAAAATCAGGTCTTAGATTCAAAGAACTTTAAAAGGTAAAGATATTATATGAGTGGTCCTGTTGTTTTAATAATTATAGTCATTGCTCATATATAGAGAGGTTCCGGATTTCATGGTAGAGGTCTCAGATACGAAACTGAATGAGGCTTCTTGCCTCAACGAACTTCTATAGGGCAGGCAGACAGAAATATTAGCAACTGAAATTCCTTTTTAAAATATATTTGGCAACTTCAACCTGCAAGTCCTTGAATGAGTTGAAGAGTTAAATGAAAAAGTTTAAATCATGAAAATGCTATAATATTTATATATATATATGACTACTTACTACCATATGAATGTGGAAGATGATTCTAACTATAAAAAAAATGGATACAGAATACAAAGAAAACGTTTGAGAGATCTGTCTATATTCAAAATAAAACCATCTGGACATCAAAAGATAACATTTGAAAAGTAAATATCAAATGAATAAATATTTGTGACAAATATGATAGGCAATGAATTGATGCTTTTTAAAAGGTCTTGGAATTCAATTTAAAAAATTAGGCCCCAAGAGAAAACTGAACAAAGGCCATGGACAGATAATTCACACACATGCATACATAAGTACAAATGATCAATAAGCATTTCAAAGGGATCACCAGACAAAAATGCTAACAGTTATCACCACATGATGAGATTTTGGGTTATTATTGGCTTTCTTGTAATTGAAATGTCTTCAAAGTTTTTAGAGTGAGGTATATATTACTTTTAAAAGCAGAAAAATATAATTTGTATTATATGTATCTTCCTCATTAATCAAATTACAACTTAAAATCAGATACAATATTTCACTTATAATATTAGTGTGGGAGGCCAAGACTGAGTTTCCAGCTCCTGGCCTCTGTATGGCCCAGGCCAGCCTAGCCCTGGCTGTTGCAGCATTTATGAACCATGGAACTCTGTCTCTGTATCTCTGCCCCTCACGTAAATAAATAGGAGCTCAGTACAACTATAACTACGTAGAATTAAGATTACCTCCATTACTTAAACACTGAGATTGACACAGTAGTTGACTGGGTACATTTTCTATCCTCCACATAGGAGCAGTACTTAGTCCAATCAAAGTACTTGTCACTAGAACTGAAGGAGGATTTTTCCTATATATGATATGCTCCTCTATCTATCAGGAAGCATCTCATTCTAATTATGCTAGGCTATTAGAATAAACGCTGATACATGAATCTTCTTTTGACTGAGATGTGTGCCACCTGTCAGAAAATTCCATGGATTTTTTTCAATCCATGTTCCCATTAGATAGATATGTCAGACATGAGATTTGGGTATCTCAGGAATTTGAGGAATCTTAGTGCAGTTAAAATGAATGCTAATTCACATTGGTTCTTATAAGAGATTATTTACATGTAGATGATTTAATAATGTGGTTCATAATCAGGGAGATGATAGAATGCTTCCAAGAATGAGGTGTTAAATAGGCTGAATATAGAGATATTATCTTACCAAGATATTCTTGTTCAACAAAAAGAAAGTATTAAGGCCAAAGGATAATTAAATTCTGGAGTCATCATAAAGGTTTGTTTGCAGTAAGCACAATAGTGCTAATAACAGACTGAGATTTCTCTACATTATTCCTTTTGTTCTGAATTTATACCTCAGTATTTTACAATAATCTTTTTTTTTTTTTTTTTTTTTTTTTTTACAGGCAGAGTGGACAGTGAGAGAGAGAGACAGAGAGAAAGGTCTTCCTTTGCCATTGGTTCACCCTCCAATGGCCACCGCGGCTGGTGCACTGCGCTGATCCAATGGCAGGAGCCAGGTACTTATCCTGGTCTCCCATGGGGTGCAGGGCCCAAGCACTTGGGCCATCCTCCACTGCACTCCCGGGCCACAGCAGAGAGCTGGCCTGGAAGAGGGGCAACTGGGACAGAATCCGGTGCCCTGACCGGGACTAGAACCCGGTGTGCCGGTGCTGCAAGGCGGAGGATTAGCCTAGTGAGCCGCGGCGCCGGCCTACAATAATCTTATAAAGTCATCTTTTCATCTTAAATAGGCTAGATTTGGAAATTTAGTTACCTATTTCAAAGTGGCATTATGCATAGGATTGTTATACATGACGTAATTAGCAGAGCATACAGTTGAAACTCAGTTAAAGTGTTTTCAAATGCTCAGTAGAAAGAAGCTCAGCGTAATGTGTCTGTGTGTGTCTGAAAGTAACCCTCTCCCCTCTTTAAATCCCCAGTGTTAAAAGGAAGCTGCATAATGACTGGGTTATGAAAATTAGATATATTCCAGCCCTAAATTGCTTTGGATCCTGCTCCTTAGACAGTATCCATTCATTTGTTTTGGGATCATTGAGGAGACTTGAGGATAATTTGTAAGTACAACAGTTCATATATGTGAACATTCTGTGACTTTCATAATTTATACAATGATAGTCCCATGGCTGCCTTGGAATTTTAAAACTGGTTTTCATGGAAATCAGATGCTAACATTTTCATTTGTTTAACAAAGTTCATTGGATTTTTCAGAAGAGAATTGAAGTTACTCAGCAGATCTGAATAGGATGTGTCCTAACAGGAATTTTGTTCATTGGTTGTTTATTGTTTTAACTTACTGGAATAATAAATACAGATGTATCTATAACTACAGTTTCTAAGTATTACTCTGATGATAAACTTCATTCTTTTTAAATCATTCTTTTGGCTAGCCAGTCTTCTATGAATGTGATCTATAGCACAATCATTATATTTCCTATGTGATATAGAGGATGGTGTTCTTACAGAGAGATGATTTTAAAGAATGTTCCATCTTTCAATTTGGCTAAATATTTATTCAAAGCTAGAAAACAGCTACTGTATTTTAATTTTGCTTAATAAATTCACTAGATACATGATAAACTTTATTTTTTATTTTTTAAGTTTTTATTTAATGAATGCATTTTTTCATAGATACAACTTGAGGAATATAGTGGTTCTTTCCCCCATAACCACCCCCCCATCATCGATAAACTTTAAAAACACTGTGCTAAGTGGCAGAAACTTGACAAAAATATTGCATATTGTATGAATTCATTTATATAAAATGCCCAAAAGGGCCAATTTCTAAAGATGGATAGCAGATCAGTGGTTGTTCAGGGCTGGTGGTGGGAGCAGGGATCTCAAATGGACACAAGGGAATTTTTGGGAGTGATGAGACTTATTGTTCTAAGACATATTGTGGTGATTGCTATTCAACTCTATAAATTGACTAAGAACCATTGAATTGTACACTTAGAATGAGTGAATACTGTGGTATGTAAATTATACCTCAATAAACATATCTTAGAAAAATAGACATCTTAGCCGGATCCAAATGCCTTAAGGGCTGATTCTAAGGCCAGAATGCTGTTTAGGACATCTGCCATTCTATGAGTCTGCTGTGTATCCCGCTTCCCATGTTGGATTGTTCTCTCCTTTTTAATTCTATCAGTTAGTATTAGCAGACACTAGTCTTGTTTATGTGATCCCTTTGACTCTTAATCCTATCATTATGATCAATTATGAACTGAAACTGATCACTTTGACTAGTAAGATGGCATTGGTACATGCCACCTTGATGGCATGAGAGTTTTTCAGGTATGGAAAGCCAAGACACTCTGGCAAAAAAATGACCTCAATGAAAGATCTCTGTGAGTGAGATCCCAGTGGAAAGAAGGGGCCATCAAAGAAGGAGGTACCTTTCTCTGAAGGGAGGAGAGAACTTCCACTTTGACTATGACCTTGTCTAAATAAGATCGGAGTTGGTGAACTCAAAAGGCTTCCATAGCCTTGGCAACTCATCACAAGAGCCTAGGGTGATTACTGATGCCATAAATAAGAGTGTCAATTGTTAAATCAACAGCAGGAGTCACTGTGCACTTACTTCCCATGTAGGATCTCTGTCCTTAATGTGTTGCACTATGTGAATTAACGTTATAACTAGTACTCAAACAGTATTTTACACTTTGTGTTTCTGTGTGGGTGCAAATGTTGAAATATTTACTTAGTATATACTAAATTGATCTTCTGTATATAAAGATAATTGAAAATGAATCTTGATGTGAATGGGATGGGAGAGAGAATGGGTTGCGGGTGGGAGGGAGGTTATGGGGGGAAAAAGCCACTGTAATCCAAAAGCTGTACTTTGGAAATTTATATTTATTAAATAAAAATTAAAAAAAAGAAAAATAGACTTCTGAATTCCAGTGTGGTACCTAGGACCTTGTAAGTTGTCACTCCATCATAACAACCAGAAAACCGAAAGGCAATAGCTCTTCACAGATTGGTCAGAAAAGTGAGGTCACAGGGAAACTTTGGTGCCCCACACTGGGGAGACAGACACAGAATAGGAGGATCACAATTTACCAGAGCAGAAATCCACAATCAGATTACCTCCAGAGTAACAAGTACCAGGGAGGGAAAACCTAAACAGCAACTCACAACTTTTTGGGGACTCAACATGGACACCTTTGATAGTAACAACTCCAGGGATCCCAGCCATGGTAAACCATCACACTTTCATAAGTTTTACGACCAGAAGCTCAACTAGGTTCTCACGGTGAACACTGGGGAAAACCCCAGTGCTTTTGGTAGGGGGAGGGGAAAAGGAGCCATTTATCTTTAAAACATACCAAAGCATTCTATTGTAATCAAGGTGTACCCACAAGATAAACCATTGCACCAGAGCCTAAGCTACTGAGGTTTTACTAGATAATAACTGACCCGGCAGAAGCGAACTACATAACCTCAATCCACTCTATCCACCTGGTTCCAACTAAAGGCAAAACTAGGATGTGCTTGTGAGGTTCCCAGTGCAGATGCACAGGCTGACTAAAAGACTGAAATCTGATGACAACAGGAATGGCATAGTAGCACCTTCTCCACACCTCACCACCACATTATGAAAGGCCTATTTATAGCAGTTCCTTTTATCCATGTTTGAGTATCAAGCAAAAAATTAAAAGGCATCCTAAAAGGCAGAAGAGATGGACAAGCACCAGCATCAGACACAGTTATGAGAGGACTGTTAGATATTTATGTGTAAGTAAAGGGACAGAAATAACATAAGGGGCTAGAGGAAAGAACTAGGATTATTAAGTGATCATAAAGTACTTGCGTTACTAATAAAGCTGAATAATATTATTTCAAAGTGAACTTAGGGGCAGATGTTTAGTTTAGTCGTTAAAAGACTCTGCCCTGAACATTCATATCCCATCACAATGTTCCTGAGTTTTGGTCCTAGCTAAATTTCCCCTGATTCCATCTTCTTGCCAGTTCACACTCTGGGAGACAGCAGGTGATCCCAGTTGAGTACTTGGGACACTGATACTCATATGGGAAATGCAGATTGAGTTCCTGGCTCCTGGCTTTGGCATGACCCAGCACCAACTGTTGTGGGAATGAACCAGCAAATGGGAGATCTCTGCCAGGACAGTTCTCTCTCAGTAAATAAATAAAAATTTTTACAAAGGAAAGTGAACAAAACTCATTGTACTGTATATTACAAACAATAGGGTGCTTGCTAAAGAGAAGAAAAAGTATCATTGATATTAAAAGCAGATAAAAAAATCATATAAATATTCAATTAAAACCACAAAAGCCACAAACCAGTGAGAGAAAAAAAGAGGGACAAAGAACAAGGGACAAGAGCAATAAATAGAAAACAGTATCAAATATAGTAGACATTAATACTGCTAAATTGGGGCCTGCGCTGTGGCTCACTTGGTTAATCCTCTGCCTGCAGTATCAGCATCCCATATGGGTACCGGGTTCTAGTCCCAGCTGCTCCTCTTCCAGTCCAGCTCTCTGCTGTGGACCAGGAGGGCAGTGGAGGATGGCCCAAGTGTTTGGGCTCTTGCATCTGCATGGGAGACCATGAAGAAGCACCTGGCTCCTGGCTTCAGATCAGCACAGCGCCGGCCATGGCGGCCATTTTGGGGGTGGTGAACCAACGGAAGGAAGACCTTTCTCTTTGTCTCTCCCTCTTACTGTCTAACTCTATCTGTCAAATAAAAAAAAGAAAAAAATACTACTAAATTAAAAATAGTTTAAACATTAATGCTCAAACAGACCAATCCAGAGAGACTGTCCAAGTGATCAAAAAAACAAGATCCACTTTTATGTGGTCTACAAGAAACATACTTTCAATATAAAGACACATGTAGATTAAAAATAAAGGGACGGAAAAAGATATATCATACTAAAATACTATAATCAAAGGAGTATAAAAATAGGGTATATTGATTTTAGATGGAAAAGACTTTAGGACAAGAATAATTGCTAGAGATAGAGAAGGATACTATGTAATGATAAAAAGGTCAATTTTCTAAGACGTATCTTTAATGTACCTAATAACAGAACATCAAAACCTTTAAGAATAAAACCAACAGACCTACAAGGAGAACTAGGTGAGTCAATTGTTACTGTTGGAGATTTCAACAGTCTTTGGCCATAAATGGAGAGATCCACCAGGCAGAAGACACGAAGTTGGAGCATGGTGCTATGGTGTTAGCAGTTTAAGCTACCACCTTCAATGCTGGCAACCCAAATGAATCAGTGGATAGAAGACCCCTTTGTCTCTCCTCTCTCTGTCTGTACATCTGTCTCTCAAACATAAATAAATCTTAAAAAAAAAACCACATTTACAAAAAAACACATGAGTCAAAGAAGAGGCACGAGAAATTGAAATGTTTTGAATTAAATAAAAAAGAAAATGTAACTCATTCAAACTAGAAGGATTTAGAGAATTCATCATTTAAAGGAAATTTTACAGTGTTGAGTACAATATGTCAGAAAAAAAAGTTCTAAAATCAGTCATCTTGTGAAACCAGAAAAGAAGAGCAAATTAAATTTGATCTAAGAAGGAAAATAGAATTAATCAAATACAGAGCAAAAATCAGTGAAATTAAAAATAGGAAATCAATAGACAAAATCAACAATACCAAAATAAAAGTTATAAGTTCTAGGAAAATGTAAATAAAATTGATAACCCATATTGACTAAGTAAAAAAGAAAGTACCAATGATAATAAACAGAAGCAGGTTCCATGATGGTGGAGTAGGGAGGGAGCTTACTGCTCTAGCCAGGAGAAAATAGTTTTAAAAAAATGGAGATAGTATAGTCTCAAGGAAGAGTTTGGGAAAAAACAGCAGAGGAAATTAAAGGGACATGGTGGACCTACTTGGAGAGCGTGGGCACCCCGGCTCAGACTCCAATAGCCAAGAGCCCATGCACAAGCACTGGAAAGAGAGGTGAGACGAGACTGCAGTAGCCCGAGCCACTGGTGGAAAAGCAACAGGGAGAGCCTAAAGGGAATGAGGCCTGAAGCTTCTCTCTCCAGTCACCTCACAAAAGCGTA